GCGCCCGCCCTGTCTCCCTCCGCAGACTGCCTGGGCTCCCACTTCACCTGGCTGCAGGCCGTCTTCACCAGCTTCCCCGCGCTGCTGCAGTTTGTGGGTGGCCTGCGGTGCGTGGCTGGCCTCTGCCCCCGGGACCTGGAGGACTATGGCTGCGCCTGCCGGTTCGAGATGGAAGGGCTGCCCGTGGACGAGTCGGACAGGTGAGCAGGAGCCGGAGCGGCGGCCTGGCTGGGCCTGGGCGGGGCGCACGCACAGAAAGCTCCCCGACGGGGGCAGGCGGTGTCTCGGTTCTGTGACTCACCACGGGCGACTGCTTTCCTCATCTCTACGTTGCAGTTAATCTGATCTGCTCGCGTCCCAGGGAGTTCTGGAGAGCCTGTGTCAGGCCCGATAGGCAAACCTTTCCTTTCGTTTCTCATCGTGTGGGGCCGCTGCACAGGGCCACCCGGCTGCTTGCTCACAGGCAGCCCAGAGGCCCACCCGCCCTGCCGACCGGGCACCCCGAGCCAGACACCCCGAGCTAGAACCGGGAGCCTGGGCTTAACAAGCCACCCCGGGGCTCTTCAGCGTAGAACGTGAGAATCTTTTTAATTCAGGACAGTCCTGGCCACCAGGGTAAAGCGACGATGAATTCAGTTTCACAGACATGTAGCAAACACCAGCAAACACCACCGATACGAGACCTGTGCTTAATATAAACAGAGGCCCCCCCCCCCCCCCCCCCGCCTCGGAGAGGGGCCAGCCCAGGGGGATGTGGGGACAATAGAAGTGCCCGCGAGAGGGAGGGTCGGCTCAGGCATGTGTATTTGTACCCGCAGCCCCTGGCACATGCAGCTCAGTAAATTAACCCATGACGAGGGGGTCAACTTCCAATTGCTTCTCAGAGATGAAAAATGAATTGATTAGACAGTGGCATGTCCTTGATCGACAAGGACTAATGGCTCTGGAATTAAAACACAGACCTGCCCCATCTTCAGATCTCCGAGAGGGTGTAGGTCACTGGACCGGAAGGGCAGTTTCCCGTTCCGGGGCCAGGAGGGGGACGGCCCCAGAGCCAGCTCCCTGACTTTCAGGAGGGGGAGCCGGTTCTGCCCGGGCACAGTGCCAGGGCCATTTCTGGGAACACTTTCCTTCCGGGTCCTCCCTTAGCGCTTCCTTTAATTATGAACACACCCGCAAACCTACAAGTCAGAGAAATGAAGCAGTAATTCGTCACCAACCCAAAAAGAATGATCACAGCACGGAAGGCGGCAAACTGGCAGAATTCTGGGTCACGCTCAGCTCCAATTGCGTTCCACAGTTCAGCTGGCGGGGACGGGGCTCCAGGCTCCTGGAGGGCGGGCTACTGCACCTTGAACTTGCCACCAGATTGCAGAAATAACTGCTGCGGCCTGCGGAGGGCCCAGGCAGGGTGGGGTCCCTATGGAATTCCCCAATTCTTATGCTGTGTGAGGAACTTAGTAACTTGCCCAAGGTCATCAGCTGCCTGTATAGTTTTTCTTCTTTCCATCGATGTCCTGGGTGCCAGTGGCCCCGACCACGCTGGGGCTCAGGAGACTGGGATCAGCCTTGACCTTGGCAAGTTACAGAGCCCACGTCTCAGTCCCACAAACCTAAAGGCTCCTGATAAGAGCAGAACCTGTTGCACAGGCAACATACTTCCAGTATTGTGTGTGTGAGCATGCATGTGTGTATGAGCGCGTGTGTGAGCATGTGTGTGAGCGTGCATGTGTGTGTGTGCGTGCATGTGTGTGAGTGTGCGTGCGGGTGTGAGCGTGTATGTTAGCTTGTGTGAGCGTAAGCGTGTGTGAGTGTGAGCGTGTGAGCATGTGTGAGTGCCCGAGTGTCTGAGACAGAGCCCGCTGGAGCCATCGGGAGGCACGCGGTGATGACAGGCTGCCTGCCTCCCTCCTGACCCTCCCCCACCCCCAGCTGCTGCTTCCAGCACCGCCGGTGCCACGAGGAGGCGGCTGAGATGGACTGTGTCCAGGACTCCACCAGGGTGAGCACAGATGTCAACTGCGCCAGCAAGAAGATCACGTGTGGTGAGCATCCCAGGTGCCGGGGGCTGGCGGGGAGGGGACCATGGAGAGGCCCGTCTGGACCAGGCCACGGGCTCACGGCCTCTCCCTTGCACAGCAGAGGTGCAGCGCGTGCTTTCTGAGTTGACACAAGTTACTCAGCAGGTTGTTGGATTTGCAATTTTCACGTGTTGCAACCCAGGGACCTTGGGAGGGGCAGGCTGCTGCCTGAGCACCAGTGGGGCGATGGTTGCCTCCTCTGAACGGCTAAGGGGGAAGAGACTGCCTCAGAGTTATGGGAATGAATGCTCCCAGAGCAGTCAGCTGGGCCTGGTGGAAGGTAAGGACGCAGTGGTGGGCGTGGAGGGAGGGACTCTGGGTGGAGAGGCCGTGGTGGGTGCTGTAAGCACCAGCTGCCCACCCTGCTCGCCGGGGCACCCGGGCACTTTATTTAGTCTCCGGGCGGCGGCAGCAGCAGCAGCGCAGGGAAAGGCACAGGGAAGCGGGAGCAGAGGGGCAGGCACGTTGGCGGTGCATCTCGGAGCCGCCCTCTCCGATGCCTCCCAGGTACCAGACGCTTCGCTCACAGCAGCCCCATCTTCTAAAGAACCGGGCACATGGGGCCGTCACCCCAGCTCTCAGACCGGGAGAGGGGAGCGCAGAGAAAGGGAATAACTTGTGCAAAGTCCCAGCAGTGCAAAGTGGCAGAGCCAGGGCTTGAGTCCAGGTGGGGCCGGCTCCACAGTCCCGGTGATGGCGTGGATGAGCTGGAGTACGAGCTTCCAGGATGTGAGAGAGGCACAGTGAACACTGAAAGCATTCATTCACTCATTCATTCACTCATTCATTCAACTGATAGGAGCTAAGCACCTACCCAAGTCCAAGACATGTCTAGGCATTGGGGACACCCTGGCATTCTGGAATTTTACCATGGTTGCCAGACGCTGCAAATACCAAAGACAAATGATACCGTCTATTAGTGCCGGGAGATGTGGGGGATATGGAGTCAGGGAAAGGCCTGGGAGGCGGGTGGGGGCCCTGTTGAAGTAGGAAGGTCAAGAGAAGGTGACAGTTGAGCAGAGACAGGCGCGGTGCATCTGGGAGAAGAGCCGTGTGGATGGTGGAACGGCCCCAGGACCCTGAGGCTCAGGGGCCTGGTGCTTGAGGAATGGAGGCCAGTGAGTCAGGACAGGGGTGAGGGCGGAGAGGAGGTCTGAGAGGGAGCGGGATCCGTGGCTTTGACTTTGAGGTGGGAGGTTCGGAACACAAGCACAGACGTGTGTGATGGTGTGACCTGAGCTTTCAGAGAATTGTCCTGACTCCTGGGAGAACAGACGCTCAGCCGGGCAGAGGCAGGGAGAGGAGTCAGCAGGCCACCCACGTAACCCAGGGGAGAGGCGAGGGGTGGCCCGGGAGAGCGAGGCGGAGATGGGGAGACGTGGCCGACTCGAAAGAGTTTCATTGAAAGCAGAGCCCGTAGAGGGCCCGACGGGTGGGGTGTGAGTGAAGGAGGGCGCATGGCCCAGACGGGACCCGCACGGAGGAGGGGGGGACACTTGCAGGGGGCGCAGGGTTTGGGCGGGCAGGTCGGGAGCTCAGCCTCGGCGTCTGCATTGCCTCTTGGGATTCCAAGTGGCTTTGCCCTTGGTCTGTGCAGAGTCCAGGGACCCTTGCGAGCACCTGCTGTGCACCTGCGACAAGGCTGCCATCGAGTGCCTGGCCCAGGCCACCATCAACTCCTCCCTGAACCTGCTGGACCCCGCCTTCTGCCTGGCGCCACCTGCGGGTAGGAAGCACCTGGCCCCTGGTCCATGTTGGGCTGGCGGTGGGGGCAGGGGCTGGCGTGGGTGCTCATGCTTCAGCAGCCAAGTCCAGCACCTCCTCACATTCCACACACACACAGCCCGCAGGCAGGAGCTGACAGCCCTCCTGCCCAGAGGTCAGGCCTCCGCGGGAGGCAGCTGCTCCCCGGATTTGAGGGGTCAGATATGTTCACCAAAGTTCCCACGCTCTCCCAGCCCCAACACCAGGGGTGCCTGGGGGTGGGAAGTTCAAGGTGCACCTCCAGAGCGTCCCCCGTTTCCTGAGCTGGGGTCTCTCTCAGAAATAGTCCTGCAGGACTTGGTGAAGAGGGAGCTGGTGTGGGTGTGGGTGGTGGATGTCTGGGCGCACACGTGTGACATGGTGTGTGCATGTGTGTGGGGTGAGTTGCATCTCCAGGTCTCCTGAGCCCAGTGGTCTTTGTCCTCTGCACCTGAGAACAGGTTTTCTCGAATCAGGACACCATACTCCACAGCCAGTCCTTCGGCTCTGCAGCCCTTTCACAGTCACAGCCTGTGCTCATGTCACCCTCTCCAGAACCCAGGGCCTCTGGAGTCCCTCTGAGCTGGGGCCTGGTTGGCACCTGCGTTCTGGGAGCTGGAGGAGGTGGGGGACCCTCAGGCAGAAGAGCAGCCCTTCCCCGGCAGCACCCGGCACAGCCCCTCCCTGGGCCCCACAGTCCCCACCCAGCCCGTTCTGGGCCGAGACCCTTGGGAGGTGGTGTGGACAGTGTCTGTCACTCATTGCTGCTGGGGCTCTTTTTCAGTGGAACCTGTGGAGCCCACAGACGCCAGCCTGGCGGCCCTCTCAGGAGAAGGTGAGTCAGGGACAGGCCCACATTTCCCACTGTAGTATTGGACTAGCTGCAATGACCTCCCCTCAGATGCAGGTGGGACAGCTGGTGAGGAAGTGTGGTCCCCATCATGCGATGAGGTGATGAGGTGTTGGAGTCGGGCAGATGTGGGGTCGAATCCTGCCTCCCCCGCTTTCAGCTGTGCGACTTTGGGAGCGTGGTGCAACCTCTGCACCCTTGCACAAAGCAGGGCTCGGCAAACTTTCGGTGAAGAGCCAGACAGTAAATGTTTTCATACAGGATCTCTGCTACAGCGACTCAGTTCTGCCACTGTAGCAGGAAAGCAGCCGTAGACGATCCATCACTGCATGGCTGTGGCTGTGTGCCAATAAAACTTTATTTATACAAACAGGTTAAGGGCCAGCCCCTAGTTTGCCATCCCCTGGAAAGGGATGATTACACCTGACTTCAGGGTGGCAGAGGATTACATGATGGAGAGCGTGGGAAGATTCTGGGCTGGCATCTTCTTCCAGAAATTCCAGTGGAACTTTAAAAATCAGCACATACCATCAAGGCACATGCAGGACACTAGACAGCTTGCTCAGAATGTATAACCCTTAATGCTCACACAACGTTAGGAAGTAACTGCTATAACCTTCATGTTGAGCTGGTACATTGAACTGGAGAAGGAGGCTGTCCAGGACAGAGCCGAGGGGTGGGGCTGGGATTCGAGGCCTCCAGCGGGTCTTCCCTTTACTCCAGGAAGCAACTCCCTCTCAGGCTGCCTTCCCACAAGGACTTGGTCCATCAGGCCCAATGCTGGCTCTTTCTCCCATTTGCTGGATTCTCTGAACACAGGACTGCCTCCAATCTGGCCCCTCACCCACTGAATGGGAACAGAATTGAGCACCAATGAGTGGACAACTTACTCCCTGATCAGATGGCTGTGGGCCTTCTCTCCTTATCACTCAGCTCCCAAACCCGTTTTGTTTGCAGGTGATCCTGGCCTGGCCAAGGTGCTGAGCTGGACTGGTAACTGATCACTGACTGACAATCGGTTGATTTCTCTTCACAGTGTCTGCTGACACCAGAGCTGACCAGCTGGCCACGCCCCCCAAGACGAGTCAGCTGACCACTCGTTCCAGGACAGGTAAGTAGAGGGACCTTCAGAGGACAGCACAGAATCCCGGAGAAACGCCACCTAAATAAATACTCGTGTTTAGAGCCCAGAGGAAATTAACCCTTTGCAAATAAATCAGGAAACTGAGGCTCTGGGGGTTAAAGTTCCAAGTCATCCAGCAAGTGATTTGTTCTGGTTTCTAACCCCCGATGTGAGGCTAAGACTTTTCTTCCCATTACCTGACAGTGACTCGCGGAGAACAGCCCCTTACCTAAAATACTAAGCCAAGAAATACTAAGATGGAGAAAGCTGTCCTAACCCTTTACTTGGCTTGTGATTAATAACCATGGATTCTTTATTACTAAGAAAAATCACTGGTAATGACTATCTACTTGTTACTGAGAATGGTTAAAGGGCAGATGTGGTAGCATGTGTCTACGCCCCTGCATACAACATTCTCTGAGTTATTCTCCCTGGTTCTGGGAGGCCCATTTTCACCCCCATTTTACAGGTAAAGGAAAAGCTCCAAGTGGTAGAGTCGTCTGCCTGGGGCACAGCGTGGATCCCTTTACCTCTGAATCCGTGCACTTTGCCCCAGCTCAGACGCCTCAGACCCTTGGCTGGAGCATCTGCGTCCCATCAGTGCACGTCTAAGCCTGACGGTCACATCACACCAGCATAATCCTGATCTCGGACAGTTCCAGGCAGTTCCTTCCTTTCCAGAGCATTCTGGAAGGAGTGACCATCTCTGGTCTTTGTGGTTCAGCCAGCAGTGAAACTGTAGCCTAGTGAAGTGGCTCCCAGGGTCAATGCTAGCAGGTGACCTGGGTTTGCAGTCTGCCACTTTCTAGCCCTATGACCTTGAGCAAGTGACCTCACTCTTCTGCAGGTCACCTTTCTCATCACTGAAGGAGGGAGGGCATTGCACTAACTCATGGGGTTGTTATGAAGTTAATCTGAGCATAGCGCTTAGTGCTGTACCTGGTGTATAGTAAGCCTAGCCCGTTCAGCTGCTGGAACAAAATGCCAGAGACTGGTGGCTTAGAAACAATAGAAACGTATTTCTCATAGTTCTGGAGGCTGCAAGTCCGAGGTGGAGGCACCAGCAGATCTGGTGTCTGGTGAGGGCTGCTTCTGACAGATACCAGCCGTCTTCCTGCTGTGCCCTCCCAGGTGGAAGGGAGCGGGAGCTCGCTGGGGTCTCTTTACAGGGCTCTCATCCTATTCGCGAGGACCCCACCCTCATGACCTGCTGACACCACATTGGGGGCTGGGGTGCCAACATGGAACCTGGGGGAACTCGATCACTCGGTCTGCAACGCAGTGCGAGCTTAACTACTGTTAAAGCAACAAACTCATTTTGCAGAGAAACAGGCTCAGCAGCCTTCCTGGGGCCACACAGCAAGCAAAGGGACTCAATTCTTCCACATTTTTCTCTGTTAAAAAAAGAGATTTCAACAGACTCACCTGCAGTTGAGTTTCCCAGCAAGCCTCTGTGTGAGGGGAAGGGGTGGTGAAGCTGGGGTCTCTTTTTGGCTCAGCTGTTGTCCCGGGAGGTGGCCAGGGGCAGAGCAAAGACCACATGGCCCCGGGGCCTGGTGGGTGGGAGCTGCCTCGGAGCAGGTGGGGCAGGCTGGGGTCGACACTTACCTGTCTCTCTTTTGGGAGCAGAACCACTCCAAGACCTGGAAGGCACTGAAGCCGCGAGGACCACAGCCCCTCCAGGTAAGCACGCTCAGCTGCTCCCGCCTTTGGCTAGTTGCTGTCCCTCCACACTCATTAGCTCAGGTGTGTCCCGAAGAGCCCGGGAGAAAAGACCCAAATTTAACGTGGAAGCGGTCAGGGAGCCAGCTTACTGGTAGAGCCCTGCGGAGTAGACAAATGAAACTAAGACTGATCCATTCATAGAAAGAAATGGAAACTTGCCCGCTAAGGAGATGCCTTGCAAAAAACAGAGAAAGCTCTATCTCGTTTTCCATTTACATCAGCTGCAACCTCACATTGTAAAGGGAGCACTTTAAATATCTGAAGGTACTTTCTCCCAGTCTCCCCAAGTGTATCCACGACGATGCCCAGGCCTCCCCCAGGGCCGGGCACTGGGCTGGGCAGCAGACGGTGGGGCCCAGCCACTGGTGCTCCTTGGTCTGGACCAGACTGGGCTGGAGGCGTGGCCTGTGGGATGGAGACCCGACTGCCTCCAGCTGAGAGGGCAGGTGGGGCTGACTGACCCTGAGTCAGGGGACCCAGACGGTGCCAGGGAGCCCGTGTGAGGGGGGTGCCCGTGTGAGGGAGCAGGACCTTGCTGGCCGTGGTGCAGACTCACACTTAATTCCAAATATGGCCAGAAGCTGTTGCCGTGTTCTAAGGGTCGGAACAGTGTTGCTTGCCTGCATGATTGTGGCCCATGCGTCGGGCTAACTTCCCCACCATTCTTGTCCCTGCACTTGTTGACACTGTGATGGGACTTCACTTGGCCGGCGCATGAGTGTGGACACGACACAAAGGTAGGCCTGAGGGGGACGGTTCTCACCCACCAGATGTCATCCAGAGGGTCTAGCCAGGCCCGTCAGTTTCACAGTTATCATAGGAAACCAGGGACCCACGCAGCATTCCGGACCCCCGAGACGCAGCTCTGACGTCTGCAAGCTCAGTCTGGTGCTTTGTTCCCAAACATCTGTCTGCCTTTGGCCTTGACCTGGTGCCCATCTGCAAATCCCTTCTTGGGCCCTCTTGGATGAGGACTGTGAAGTTGTGCATTTTCAGGATCCGCAGAGATTGCTGCCACAGCCGGAGGCGTGACGGTGGTCCCCGCCGGCATCAACTCTCTGGGGCTGGCCGTGCCATCCGGCGAAAGCGGTCCCGAGGAGACGACTGGGCAAGGTGAGCAGCAGGCAGACAGGAGCCTGCCCTCCCGGCCTGAGAGCCTCTGGTCAGGCGGTTAACAAGGCCACTGTGTCGCACTGACCTTGGCACGTGGCTGTGACGGGAGGTGCCGCACGTCCCCTGGCAGACGAGACTGGGAGAGGGGCACTGGCCGGCAGGCACCAGGGCTGGGGGCAGGGCCCAGAAACGGCAGGCCTTGGGCCAGCGCTCACCAGCACCGTCCATGCCAGGTTCCTGGGAAGAACAAAACACTTGGGTCTCAATAGTCCTCCGCAGGCCCTGCACCCGCAAGGGCACCAGGCAGCGGGACCCAGAGGAGGCACTGGCACTGCCCTCCAGTGCGCCATGCAGGGCTGTGCAAGCAGCTGTGTGTGGGGAGGGGGGCATGGGCCTTCTTAGTCCTTCCCACCCAGACTATGAAGGTGGGGTTTTGCCCAGTACAGGAGGAGGGGGAGTAGGATGGGTGGAGAGAGAAAAGCAGAAATAGAGACAGAGAACCAAGGTCTGGAAGACAAGTCCCATAGGTGTGCTGACCTGCGAAGCCAGGCAGCCTCAGGGGACAGCCAGGAGCCCCCGGGATGCTGGGTCCTGCTCAGTAGTAAATTCGGCCCTAAGAGCATCTTCGGCCCTGACGAGTCCCCATGCCGAGGGGCAAGGGAGGTATCGAGGAGCCTGGGCGAGCAGAGCCCGGTGAGGAAGACTTCTCCCTGAAAGACGACCATCCCAGACAGGGCCTGGGCACAGGACAGTCTCCAGGAGTGGGGAGGGGGCGCACTGTGGCCACGTGGAGCCCTCCTGGGAACGCCGTGCTGGCACTCCTGGCTACCTGAGTCCTCCTCTCTCCCCAGCCTGTGACAGGTCCACCTTCCTGCGCCTGGGAGCCGGGGAGGACACACAGGTGATGCCGCAGCTGGGGCAGATGCTCTTCTGCCTGACAGCCCGGTGCCCCGAGGAGTTTGAATTTTACGGCTGCTACTGTGGGCAAGAAGGGCGAGGCGAACCCAGGGACGCCCTGGACAGGTAGGTGCGCGAGGGTGGCAGGCGATGGCGCCGATGCTGCCTGCAGGGAGAAGTGAGAGCCCTCCTCCACCTGGGCCGTCACTCGAGGTCCACAAAGAGCTTGCTGCCTGCCTTACCTCACTCGGGTGGCTCCTTACATCACAGGCCCGTTTTCTGGGTGAGCAGCTGAGGCTCGGCCTCATCTGAAGTCATTCATCCACGAAGGGGCAGAGCCTGACAGACCAGCCACCTGGAGAGGGTGGGTCTCGATGTGTGTGACGAGATGCCGCGCTGAAATGAGCTCCTCCACAAGGTTTACATTCTGGGCAACTGGAGTGACTTTCACTTCAGATGCCTGTGCAGTGCGCAGCCTGAGCCGGCACGCGTGGTATGTAGGAGCCAGCCGTGCACACGGAGGGAGGCACTGGCTCGCTGTGTAGGGGTGCGGGAGAAGCAGGCCCTGAGGAGCTCCCGGGGCAGCTGGGAGCTGGGCAGTAAAGGCTTCTCCTTGGTCGTAGGTGCTGCTGGTCCCACCACTGCTGCCTGCAACAGGTGGGGAGGCTGGGCTGTCGGCGCGGGAGGCTTCCCCAGCCGCCGGTGATGTGCGCAGACGGCGCCCCCAAGTGTGAGTGCGTGGGCCTCCGGGTGGGTTATCCTCTCACCCGCTCAGCATCATGACCACTCAGGCGTAGACACTCTCCCAGCACTTTTTCATCCATCGCGTGACCCAACACGTCTTCCCTCTGAGGCACGTATTAGACCCCTAGTCCACTGAGGAGACTCCAGTTCAGAGGCGACGTCCGCGCCCAGGGCACAGGGCTGGCCAGGTGCACACCGGGCCGCTACACAAGCCGGGCGCATTGCGTGCTCACCGTGTGCCGTCTGCTCCCAGCTCCTGCTGTGTGAGCGAGTTCCTCCTCACAACCGGCCAGGCCAGAGCACCAGGAGGCGCCCAGGCCACACAGGCAGAGTCCGCGCTGAGCTGGATCGGGACCTAAGCTCCCACGGCCTCCGACCTCGAGCCGAGGCCTCACCAGGCCCGTGGGCCCCTTTCCCTAAGCAGCAGAGCCTTTCCCGGGTGACATCTTCCGAGGGGCCCCGTAGGATGGTGGCCCTGGCTGAGGGGCCAGGTGGGCTGCAGCTCCGCTCCTCTGTGGCTGCTCAGGGCCTCAGGCAGGATGGCTGGAAACTGCCACCGCCCCCTCTGCGCATCACTCTTACAGCACAGCGAGGGTTAGCACTGGCCTGTCACTCTCTGGCTCCATTTCCTCATCTGCATTTTCCTGGGGAAGCCTCTGGGGCCATTAGTCCCCCCCCCCCCCTCCTCTGCATGCACCTCCTTGTAGGATCATGTGTGCCTCTCACTTGCCCGGAGCGCCATCCCTTCAGTTTTCTACTTACCCAACAAACCTTCACTGGTAACTAGGAAACAGTGAGCATGCAGGATCCCTGCCTCAAGTCCCTCAGAGCCTAGAGGGAAGAGAGACAAGTCAGAGACTCCCCTAATCTCATGCCATACTGCTAACAGGAGGTGGAGCCTGCAGAGTCTGGCAGTGAGGACGGGAGAAGTCAGGAGAGCAGTGAGGTGAGATCTCAGGTTTCCGAAGGCCATGCTGGTGTGGATGTTCCAAGGAAAGGGAAAGGAAAACCGAGGCATTTTGGGGACTCCTGGCAGCACAGGGTCAGCATATGGTTGTGTCTGGCCAGCAGAGAGAGTTGGGGTGGGGAGACTGCTGAGGGGGAAGGTGAGGCCGGGAGATAGACAGGTACCAGATCAGGAACGCAGACTGAAACACTGATTCTGTCCTATAGGGGACCGGGGGCTGAGTGTGGGTCGAGAGCCCATGGGTGACAGATCAGAGTACTATTGTCGTGATATGCAACCATGCCATGAGGTCTCGCGTGCCCAGCTGAAGGCTCGCAGAATCCAGGGACACTGCATGTGCAGCTTGAACTCCCACAGAGCTTCAGAGATCTGGTCCCAACCCTGTGAGCTCTGAGCTCAGTGTCCCATACCTGGTGCAGGTGGCAGGCGCTGGGAGGACGAGCCTGCCGTGTCGTCCTGACACTGGGATGGGGCGGAAGGGCCGAGGGCTCCAGGAAGCAGGCTCGTGTGTGTCTACTTTGCTCCTCTTCTCCACCTGCTGCTGAAATGACATGTGTACCGGGGCTGCTGGGAAGGCCAGTGTCTGAGACTTGGCGGGTTGGTGTGACGAGAGTATTTCCAGTGGCGGCATAAGTGCGCACTGGACGCCCAGAGATTCAAGAGGGGGGCGGAGGCCACCTGGGGGCTCCATCTCCGTGGTCCCATGGCCCAGGGTGCTACTCTGTTCTCGCCCTCAAAGGTGTGGGCCAGAGCCTGTGCGAGAAGCTGCTCTGTGCCTGTGAGCAGACGGCGGCTGAGTGCATGGCGTCGGCCTTCTTTAACCAGAGCCTCAAGTCGTCGGGCAGACAAGAGTGCCAGGGCCCCCAGCGCCCCTGCGAGGACGGCGGGCAAGGAGGGCTTTCGGCGTCCTCCCTGGGCTCCAGCTCCGAGGAGAACAGCGCGGAGGCCCTGCCCCCCACCGCACACCTGAGAACCAGGAGGTTTCTGGGGCGGTCACTTGGTCCCGTGGGGGCCAGGCTGCAACCTGGCCCCAGATAGAGCCCCGGAGAAAATGCCAGGCACCCCTGCTCCCAGGCGCCCTGGGGCCTGAGCCGCCTCTCGGTCCTCCTCTGAGCAGAGGCTGGGGACAGAGGACCGTGGTGCTCCCAGCTCCCCTGGGAATGCCATCTGCAGGAGGTAGCGCAGGTGCGGCTCCACTTCCTGCAGCACACGACGGAGGTGCAATAAATAACCAATCAGTGCTTTTTCTGCCCTTGGTTTTGTGTGTTTTTAAAAGGTACTGGTGCATGAATAGATTGCAAAGGTAAGAGGACAGAGACAATGTGTGTGTGTGTGTGTGGGAGTCTATTCCCTAATCACTGGCAGCCAATTTTCTTCTATTAAAAAAGAATAGAAGGGAGTGTACGTAGTCAGCCAGTCTTATGAGGTCACCTATGAGTCATCAATAACTCACCAAAGATGTACGCCAAGGGCTGAGATGACAGCACTTTTGGTCTGTGCCCTAAAAACACACCTGCCATCCTAGTTACTAGGAGAGGGGGCATGTGTCTCCCCCGCCCCCACAATGAAGAATCACCACTCACCCCGTCTTGGTCCTGGGCTTGTTTTCACAAATGAGGGTTTATCCCAGTGGCTGGAAGGCCAGGAATGAAGCACCGCTCGACACACGCAGATTCTGTAAAGAACGGAACTATACCCGCCCACCTCCTAGCTGAGAGTTATTCTCTATCAGACTAAAGGCATCCCATCTTTAACCCTTTGCGGTCCAATTTTATTTTTGGAATTCAAAGAGTCTGGTCCAAATTAATTGACGGGATTGAATGTTGAACCGGTTTGCGGTGTCGACCTCAGCCTCGAAGTTGGACCTGCTCCTAGTGCCTGGTCTGTCAAGTCAGCCTCGACGTTGGACCGAAAAGGGTTAAAAATCCCTTCATCGACCCATTAAGCAAGATGGGGGTGGTGGTGGGGGGGTGGGTGGTGGTATTTGAAATGATAACCGCGTGCTTCCACGTTTAGTCCTGTCCTTAAGTATCAGACAAGGTGGTGCCACACTGGACGTCTTTTGCCAGCTCCACGCCATCTGGTCCCACCTCTTGTTCCAGACACTGATGTGACACCCAGTTCCCGAGGCTCTGACCGGCCACACTGGGCAGTGGGGTCTGACAAGGCCCGCCACACCTCCTACCTGCTGGCCACACCTCCTACCTTCTCCGATGAGGCGTGGGGCCCCTTGGAAACTGCTCCGCATCAGGCACACGCAATCCAGAAACGTGGGGCAATTCACGCCAACAGGGCTTTGACCATGAGTAGAAGCCAAAGGCTACACGCTACGCTGCCTGCCATCGCCTGGTGGACCGGCCTGAGCTCTCCTCATGAGACGCCTTGGGCTGTCGCGGAGGCTGGATCTGCCCTCCCCCGGTGATGGCCAAGTCATCGGAGAATCCTCTTCACCAGCCCTTTCTCCATTTCAGAGGTTCCCTGGGATCACGCCCAGAGAAAGCCCTGCCGGTGAGCCTGCCTTCGGCTCTGCGGTAGGAGAACCCAGACTAGGACAGGGCCCCCTACAGGCCGCCTCTGACTCAAAGTGCAAGTCGAAGGCAAACAGAAAACGAAGAGGCCGACTGGTGCTCATTCCCCTGCTTTTTCATTCATGTGAACTTGTCCTTGAAGTTAGTAATTTATCAGGTGACAGACTAGTAACAGGATCCAACAAGCTAAAGCTGGAAAGAAAGCACATGAGATAGCAAACCACCCCGACTGCTCATCTCACACCTAGAGAACAGGTTCCGAGCGTGGGGGGACCGGCCTGCGTCCACAGGACAGAGGCAGCTGCCAGGGGCTCAGGCCGCTCTGCCAACTGGAGGAGGAACAGTAATGAACATACACATGCCCTGAGGGTGGGACTTACTCCCCACCATGTTCCAGATGAGGACTTCAAAGCCCCAAGGGCAGTCCCTTGCCTACAGCCCTTAGACAGGCAGTGGCAGGGGCGGGCTCCAGCCCAGGGCCCTGCAGGCCTGCTTTGCTGCAGCCTAAAGGAAGTCCCCGAGGCCAGCAGGGTCGGGAGGGTCCCAGAGGTTTCCAGTAATTTATGCAGCAAGGAGGCGGGGCTGAAAAGGAACCTGAAGATTTAGCAGAGAAGCAGCTGTGCTTCCCCATGCCCCCCGCCTCCCGTTCACAGGTGACCTTCGCCTTGGCCACACCTCCCTACAACCAGCCTTCACTCACGGGTCTGAGACTCCCAGTGGGTGTGAGGAGGAATCCACTCGACAACCTGACTTTCACTAAAAATTCTCATTTTAGCTACAGTAACATACTGAATAAATGTATTTAGTAAATGTAAAAATAGCCATTATAAAAGTGTACTTAGGCACCAATATTTTGATTTTGTTTTATTGCTCACATATGAATTGCAGAGTGGATTTTTACATTTCAAAAAGCTCACTTCGTTACATTGACAACATATATTGCCATGAATAAGACGAACGAGTTCCATTTTCAGAAAGGAAGAGAAGGGCTATTCTGAGGAGGGAAGTTAACCGCTGGTAAAGTGTGGCATTACTGTAAAAGAGAATGGGTTCAGAATTATTAAGGGTGCGTGCGTGTGCGTGTGCGCACGTGTCTAACTTCAATGACAACGAACTCTGAGCAAAGACAACACAAGCATAGGAGGAACATTTAAATGTTAACTACTCAATGTCAAGAAAATATGATATAAGCAACTGTCTACAGCAAAAAAGAAAGTGGTAACAGTTTATAAGAATTTTCAGTATCTACAAAAATATAGGCATACAGTGCCCTTCAACCAATCCCACACTCGCGCAGGCCCAGAGACAGCACAGTACACACCCCCCTGCAGGGGCTCCTGAAGGCACAGGCCACAGGGCAGACCCGCTTCCAGGGAACCCTCGGCAACAAGACCAGCTCACCAACCGAGGGCACACAGCAGTCTACTGTGATTTAAAAACAAAACCAAACCAAACCCCTACAGAACCCAGCTCAACAGTTTACACACAGACCAGGAGGAAGGCGATAAGCATGACTGGAAGTGGGTGCCCTGTCCATGCAACACGCACCGACCACGCCGAGACCTGGGATCCTTGGAGCAGGAGTGCAAACAATTAAGATACTTCTTTAAAAATACAGAAGAAAAAAAGAAAATTAAAAAGACACAAAATTTGGCTTCTTAAATGGTGACGCATTTTAGCTGATCAAGAGGAAAATACAGTGACAGCTGCTATAGGATCACGACGCCCTCGGTGACCGCACTGTTACGCAGAAAACTAGGGCTTCTTCACGGACACGTACTACAGCGGCCAGGACGTCGAGTGTCGTTTTAGAGGTTCAGTGACCACTATCTCTTGCAAAGTGCTTTAAGATGCTGTACTTTGGATCATATGTAGAAAAAAACTTGAGCACGCGTCTTTACTTTTCCTGGTCCTACTGCCTGTGCCCAGACAATCATAAACCAAAGGTGTAGCACGCTCTTCACTGCGATTTTACAAACAAACGCCAAAACCAAAACTGGTTTTTCAGTCACAATTTTTAATATGTATATTTTTTATGTAAAAAGAAATAAAATTAAAAAAGGTAGAACTATAAACAAGTTATGTTATATAAATGTCCTAGGAGAATGTTGTAAGATTTGCAAAGACAATTGTTCGTTTTGCCATGTAGTGGACTCACTGAAATGTATGTGGCTTTAAGACGATACCATGGGTCGGTCAGCAGGTGAGGAGAGTGTGAGTACACATCACCTTGGTGGCTTAAACCGACAGAAGCTTACACTGACAATCCTTAGCACACTTGATTGCTAAAACCATAGACACCCTTTAAATGTAATATAACAAACCCTAAACACATATGTAATATAACAAACCTTAAACACAAATGCATATAAGCTACAGTTCAAATCCTACAAATTAAAGTCTGTTTTGGTAATTTTCTGACTATGATGATTAAAAACAATGAACAATATAAAAATGTAAATTAATGTGCTCTTAATAAAAATCAAAATGTGTGCTCTTCACAGATGAACTAGTAACTGTTTTAAATGTCTTTTTTATACTAAATATATATATATATCTCATTTAATTAACTGAGCCACAGCAAAATACTACTATAATTTCAAAGCACAGTCTGTAAACTAATACATCTTATGATGTAAAAAATATTGCACAGTTCGGTATCTGGAGAGCAAGCTCTAAGCCTCTCACGTAGAATGATCAAACTCTCGGCAGAAAATACAGTATTACAAGAACCAGACACTTTAAAGTATGCGCCTGATTTTAGGGTCATATTCTAGGCATATTATTCAACAAACATCACTACCATAAACTAGCGGAGGAACGCCTACCGCACGTACCACGGTAACTGAATGAAGAGACGCCTGTCGCAACATCGGAAACACAGGGACAAAAGCCTCAGGGCAGTCAGCAGCCCAGGACTAGCGTACTCTCGCATGTTTTTGCTTTTGCAGATAACCAAAACTAAAGCAAAAATCCTACTTAAACAGTTGTGTAGATGTTTAAGAAATACAAGAGACACTTCATACGTCTTTCAACCCTCGAAGGCCTAATTTTCAAAAAAAAAAAAAAAAACATATTTGAGAAAAGTTTAAAATATACTGTTTAACAATGAAATAATGTTGAGACCAATATATGCTAAACTTTAAAGCCAACAGGAACCTCAAAAGAAATTAATATGGCATAAATCTATCTTCAAAAGCACTTGAAATCACATATAGTTTCAAAATTTCTAGTATGGTATAACAAGCATTTGGTCAAATGTACGTTCCAACGCTGTTTTCAAGAAGTGTGTTATAGACGTAAAGTAAAGAGCCCGGCCTGCATTCCCAGGCTGTGACATTCTATGCTGAGGTCTTCCTGAGCCACTCAGTACACACAGAGGTCAGGAAACTTCATCTCATAGACGGGGACAGACTGGTACTGGGCATGCCCAGAAGTAATGGTCAGTGTTCCCGACGGGCTGGGCGGAGGACTGGAAGAGAAGAAGGGCATTGTCAACGGTGACTTAGATGCGCTTCCCGTCACAGAGCGTCCTAACTGCTATTGCCCCAGCCGGTGAGGAACTGAGGAGGAATGTACCTGGTTCAACATAGCATTCGAGTGCAAGTCTTCCAAAGCACCCGCTGTCCTTCTAGGGACATTCTAAAGGACAGCTAGAAAGCCAGAGACACCTGGACAAGAAATGGGAACAGACTGGCTAGCGAAGACAATGCCTACCAAGACAAGGTACTGTATGACCTCTTGTTTATCCTAAATGAAAAACGTAATTACTTAAACATAATCAGCTACAAGTTTTCAGGGGCTAACCGTTCCTATTTTGTTGTTGTTGTATTGCTGTTGTAACAACCCTTACCGTATGGTGAGTTCCAATATTTGAGTAAGTCTATCATGAAGCAAATTCGCCTATAGAAGAAAAAAAAATGTTAAGAATGAATTTACTGTTTTCCAAATACCCATATGTAATAATACAAATGCAATTTAAAAGACAAAGCATAACTGTAACTATGAAGCTGATGGTACAGAATGCTGTAATATTTTGGTTTTGTTTGTCTCATTTAATATAAAGTTTCTCTTTTATTCCTTTCCTAGTCTCACTGGTAAAAACAAACCAATAGACACACAAAATCACCCACAGCAAAAGCATTGAAAACCACTGCAAAAAAAAAGTATCAAAGCCACATCAATCTTTAACATGCAGCTTGGGATCTCTCATTTCCGTCAGCTTCTGTGACACTAAGAAACTGTTTAGCTTCACAGCTATCTAAGCATTGAAGTTTCGGTCCCTGTCTGATATATCACCTTGTCTTCTGCTGATTCGTCTAAACATGGAGCCTACCAACCAATTACCAAGAAAGTTTCCCCCAAATCACACTCCACCCCTGCCCCTCCAGCATTTAGTCACTCACTTTGGATTCACACTGTGCTGCTATTTCTTCAAAAGGTGCTTTCTGGAATTTCTCTATCACCAGACGCCTCTTCTCCTTTTCTTGCTCTTCCATTCCATTGGTATCTATGTACATGTTTACAGAGACCCGTTAAAGCAACACAGAATTTCAGAGACCCTTCCAATGACCATAAGAGTAAATGATCTCAAAACCAAAATGAAACAATTTATAAGATTACTTTTATAAGGAAAAAAGCAAAAGGTGTAACATGCTTTGAAATGTCTTAGTTAAGACTAGTATGCAACACTTATGAAAAATGTTTTTAAATCTCAGGGTTCAAACTACACAGGCCCCTTTTCATAGACAAGCTCTGTTGGCCACCAAAACAGCAGAGCACGACCGCTTCCTTCCCGAAGGAGGAATCTGCTCAACTGGCGACCGAAGGCACAGCACAGAACACTCTGGCTTGGCCTTTCCCATCTATCTCCCACAATCCGGAAAGCGAGTTTTTCTCTGAAGACGATGTATGGTCTAGCCAAAGTCTGCGATACAGTAAAGTAACAAATGTCTACCTTGTCACAGATCATTATTTTCCTTGGTATAGACAGACTTTTCTAGAATTGTGCAAGCATCTTACAGTGCATTCTGATGCCACCCTTATTTGGTGGCCAGCATGCAGGCTGCATGAACTTATGAGAAACAGGATGAAAACTCTGAGAAGTACTGGGAGAAGTAAGCAGAGTGGTTTTTAACAGGCACATAGAAGTACAATGAGAAGTGAGTTTGCCATGGGTGAGAGTATGCTTGTCAGCAGGCACGACAGTGTCACGTTAATCCCTGCTATGTCACCAATGAAAACACCAGGCAGGAAATTAACCTTCTCCTGAGATCACACAGCTAGAAATGCTGCAGCCAAATTTCACACCAGGTTGGACTGACTCTGTGGTCTTCACTTATCTTGGTATAAAGTATTACTCTCATTTTTTACAATTGTAAAAACCTAAACAACATAACTAAAGAAATCAATTACACATTTATATGGAAATCAGCATATAAACATGCACTAAGATAAAGATAAACTAGCAAAATACTGGGGGAGTTAATGAGTACAAAAAAATCTCACCAATTGCTTTCTTTAATGCTTCAAAGGTAATTTCTTCAGTGTTACTAACCTGGAGAAAAGGGATTTTAAGTAAAATAGTTAAGAAAGGTCGATATAAATAATACTTTCACGCAGTTACAAGTCATAGAAGAGCTTTTACAAGATTTTTTCTTCTCTGTGTTGGCGTGATTTGTAATTATACTCCACAAATGTGACAATGGTGTACTTTAGGGGTTCCCAAACAAGTCCACAGGCTATCACAGGGCTGGCGGATGCGCATCCTGGGCCCCCAAGCAGCGCTGAGTAGAACCAAGCTGCAGTGGGGGAAGTGCAACGAGATCGGAGTGCCCCGCCCGCTCCCCCCCCCCCCCCACCTTGCCCCAGACGGAACGGCTTCATAGGCACAGTGCTTGCAAGCACCCCAGGCAGAGGTTACGCGCTAACTGTCTCAGCCACGTAACCAGTGAGAAACGAGTTCTCTAGTCTCTATAAGTTTTGGCACCTCATACTGCTTACAAAGCGAAAATAAAATAATCCAAAACTATAAATAGTTTAAAAGCAAGAATCCCTCCTTTGCAAAGTGTTCAGTGAGAACAGTTCACCGACAGCTTAAATGACCACGTTCTGGATCTTCCAAGGCCCACCACCAACTCTTATGCTCCAGAAACCCCTCTGACTGGGGCTCCCCCATCTCCCTAGCGCTCGGAGATGTGCGAAAAGTGCTTTTTGATGAAAGTCAGTAACACTCGGTGGTGCCAGCACGTTTCAGGAAGGATTGTTTTCAGGAGGGATAGATCCAGCGACTACGTTCTCTCTGAATGAAAATGAAGAAATGGGATGTGAGTACTTGCCTGGGCTCTGGTCATCCCTAAGTTTAGCTCATGGGCTTCCTTTGCTAAGTCTAAGGCAGCGAGACTAAGGAGAGCAGAAGCCTGCGTGCTCTGCGCCTGCGCGGCTGCAATGCAAAGGCTTGAGCGGAAGCCAAGCGACACAGCTCCCCTGCCTCGGCTTCCTACTGAGGCTCGGAGTTGTAGCTGAAGTCACATTAAACGTGGGGTCTCCGGTGGCTCTGTTCTATATGTCTGGAGCAGATATATAAGATGAGGCTCTGGCTGGTCAAGTATTTGTATCTAGAAGCAATCTAGTACCTCAATGAGAAAAACAAAATGGTGGTTCTTGTAACTGGTTAAGAGGATCGGACTTCTGACCAACCACCACAGCCCAGGAGAAAGAACACCGGGGACTTGCACTTATTACCTGTTCCATCTGGACAGGAGAGAAGCCAGCGTGCTTTACTTAACAGATCCTCTTCCCGGTTGGTTATTGTCCTTAATTCAGGTCACGATGACTGTCTCTCAGCATCTAGACCAAGTCGTCCTGCCCCTGTCCCTTTTGGTAACCTCCTTTCTCTAACTGGCTCTCAGTCTAACTTGCTCTGCCTTCAGAACAGAGTCCTGCTGCCCCTGACCCTCCTCTTCATCCCCGGCCTGGCCACTCCAGGTCCTCAGAGGTCTGTTCAGGCGACTGCAAGGCTCTCCCCTTCCAGTCACGCTTCTCAGTGACTGTGTGAGGCAGCTCTGAAACGACTACCTGAATTTCAGTGTTTCCCTGCTTCCTACCCAACTACATGCAAAGTCCTTAGGCTGGTAATAAAAACCTTCTATAATTTGTCTTCAATCTTGTTTCCCCAGATTCCCCTTTATGAACCCTATTTTTAAAAAATTGCTTTATAATAGTGTTTAATGATTCATATGTTTCATACAATGGAGCTGCTAAAAACAAGCCAGCTACTCCATTTGGTGCTCAGTTAAACTAGAATCTGCTCCAACTCTACCTGGTGTGCTGGAGTCACGGAAAAACAGGGCAAAGGCACCATCCCCGAAGAGTTTCCAGTTCCTCTTATGTATGACTTTTGCCTCATGTGATTTATAGCTCTGATCTAGACTGTACAACACCCTTGGGCCTGCATAAAATCTGCGATTCATCTTTTTTCAATCAGTTCTAGGTCACTTCCATGGGCACTTCAGTAATTGTGTGGCACCCGGCACAGCAGGCCCTGACCACTGTTGCTGACTTTAGGATCATTGTTTGTTAGCACACATGCAGGAATGTTCAGTTATAATTGGGGAAAAGGCAAGAGTATACATGTACCAGTATAAAATAGATCTGTTATTTGTCCTAGAATACACAATAATTCTGTTCAGCCAACTGTTGCTTAATTTTGTACAAAGAAAAAGTGAGTATACATACCCTCTCATCCATTCCCCCAAATAATTAAGCACTGACTATCACACCTCTTAGAGAAGAATGAGTGGTGATTCGAATCTCACATCCATTATGCACTGAAATCATGCCTACAGTGCTCAGAGAGAACACTAGAGGTCAAAAGTCATGCCTATAGCACTTGAATCTATTACTCAACTGGTAATTTTATCTCAGGAGGCAGGCACGCCTCCATTACATTTTAGCCATTTATCTTTTTGAAATAATTAAAGAGTTTTAGGAAAAGTTAACATGTATATACTGATAAATAAGGCAATTGTTAGAAAAGCGAGTCACAGTAAGCTAAGGTTTGAATGGCAAATGTTGGAACTGACATACCTCAAGTGGACCAGATATCTCAATAGACTATAGTGACACTGTGAGTTGTATCTAGAGAAGACACAAGCTTGCTATGATCTCCACCTAAACAATCTTCTGACTTTGTTTTTAAGTTATAAACCTAAAAGCAGATATTAGTTAGATCTGAAGACTGAGATTATGTATGTAAAATTTCAAATAATTTTGATTAAGTATTAAAGAACTGTTTTTAAATGAGCAATTTTCTTAACTGATCCACTATTAGCTAATGTACTTGTTCATGGTTTGATATTTTGCTACACCATTAACTGGTGAATACCTAACTGACTCAAATCTCTCCTACCCTCACCATGTAATTAGTTCTAGCCTAGAAGATAATTTCTTTTGTCTCCTGGTATTTGAACAATCATTCCTAATATGCAAATCAGATTCCATAACGGTCAATGGGTTTGAAACTCTAACCAGCTCAAGGACATCTTTTAGTAACCAGTTTACTTAACTTTTCAAATGCTCAGTGGGAGGCTTGTTTGACTTTGGACTCATAGTAAAGAAGGCTCTTTAACAAGTTAATATATTAATGGATTAATGTAAAGTTCATGTTCAAGAATCTTCCCTCGACCTTTATGCAAATGTCTTTTCAGTTCATTTTCTCAAAGAAGAACTGTTTGTAACAGTTTGAAGGGCTTTATATGTACCTTTATATGTATCTTTAAATACAGTTAAAAGGAAAATGGAGTAATACCAGTCGATAAAATAAGTTATACTCTTGACAAAATAAAGTGTATAAACTAAGGCTTAAGATGATTTTCTTCCCTCAAAATGTAACAGCACCAAATTCAAAATCATTACAAGACAGAGCGAGCAAGATACCCTCCTCACCAGCAAGGAGAACAGAAATTAAAATGGCTCAGAAGAGGTGAGTTTGGGAAGATGATTTTTCTGGAGCCTTAAATTGGCAAGAAACTTTCAACCAACCTCAGAGCCCCGAGTCCCACAAGGAGCACTAACTGCCTCGTAATGCCCTGCAGACAATTTCTTAATGAAATGGACTAGTTCTGCCCGATGGGGAGATGAACAGCACAGAAGATGCATGTTAGTCAACTGGAGCCTGGCCCCCAAACCGTTTGAATTCTTGAGGACAAATTAACTGGCGGGGACTGAGGGGGGACGAAAGAGGAGGCTGAGAAAGCATGAATTCAGACAACTTCCTTCCCCTTTTCTTAGATGGATATTCTTTTAATGATTTATACTGTACAAATGAGAAACAATGAAGTCCCTAGGAAGGCAAACAATGGATAAACCAAGGAGGAGGCTGACTTGGCATGCTGGCATTGCGGCACTTTTACTCGACTATCAAAAAGTCTCTGGTGACTGTGTGGTAAGTCCAGAGAGTGCGGCTGCGCTTCTTCCTACCACTCGGGAGGTTACACTCTCGTGCGCTAGTGAGACAGGAGGAGAGCGTTACATCTCTGAGGGCTCAGGTGAGGCCTCACCAACGCTATGCTCATTACACTTACTATCTAAAGTGATAAAAAAATGTCCCTCACAGAAGAAGTTTTGAAAGTTTTAAAGTTGTGAGCATCTGAAGTATCTATTTCCATTTATTCTCATAATTTGTGTTTCATAAATCTTTAAAAACAGGATCTAAAGGCCTCCTAATTTAATGATAGGTCTTAAGTGACATTTCTTTCTTATAAAAAAAATCTTACTTGGTTCTGTTTTCAGTTCCTGTTGTTACACTAAGTTACATTGTAAAACCTAATATCATACATGTTACATTATGTATCTTTATAAATAGCCAAAATGAGTTTAGTAAAATACATTACAAGTTCGTTCCAGGCTGAATCAGATTAATTTCTACTACAATAAAAACTGCTGATTTGGGGGTAATTAGAGTTACATTTGCTCCTATTTGAAAGCATGGAGGGCAAAAAATTCTTTTAAATTGATGTCTATCCCAAGACAGCACTGAGCACAAACTGTCAGCAACTCACCACGTCGTCAGAAGGGAGGCTGCCGGGTAGAATATCCACCTGAATGGACACGGTGTCCACGATACTTTTTCTTCTAGAAAGTCGATCTTCATCTAAAAAAAAAGCCCCCTGTTATATGCCAGCAAGAAATGGTGTGTCATTTATAAACAACATGCTTCAGGTTTCAAAACACTTCAGACAATTAAGACAGTGGGGTTTTTTTGCTTTTTTTAAATATACAAGGCACCTGTTCTCAGACCCACACATTTTGTGATGCAGCCGCTTTATAGCCTGGGCCATTCTAGCTTCCTAATCCCACTTTGATTGTCCGTGGTTTTATTCCTGAGGGGGAAGAGTGACGGACTAGGGAGGCGAGGATAATGAACCAGTTACTGTCTTACTGACCACCTCTCCCTCGGGTTGCCTTCCAAGGTAGTGATTGATGCCACTAATCGAATTTGGTAGTTGACTCTTTTTCTGGGCACACAGTAGGATTGCAATTATATGGAAGATAAACAGTTAGAATCTGAGCACCAAGGAAATTTTTTCCTGTTTCAAACCAGTAAGGAGCTGCGATTGTGCCATCACAGCCTAACTTGGGCAGCGTTCTTCACTGTGGCACTGCTGGCATTTTAGGCCAGGTAACCTGTAGGACCTGTCAGTGCACTGCAGGGATGGTCAGCAGCACATGGTGATAACTAAACATGCCTCCGGATTGGTAAGTGTCCCCTGGGATGAGGAAAATCACTCACTGAGAACCACCGACCCAGTCCATTCGACTGAGAACAGACCTTTGTACAGTTGTCCCTATGTGCCTCCATCACGATACAAGCTGTTTAAAGCACTGACCACATTGCTCTCCAAGCAATTCTACTCCTCCCCTGATGAATTAAAAAGGCGCTCTGGGCCTCTCGTCAGATCTTACATAGTAACTTCCACTGCTCCTGACTGATCTAGTGTTCAAGTCCGAGTGCCTTTCCTACAACCTGAGTCTTGTTAGCTCACCTGCCTTCCATACCTTCCTACAGACAGAGACCTCTCCTGGAACTCTTCATTCCCTGCCCTGGACCACCCCCCTGCCCCAAAGATTCGTATCTTTCAGGCCTAATCACATATATCCTTCCTTAAAAACCTTAACTATCACGTACCCCTCTTTCTTCTAGCTACGAAAATTTACTCTCAGTTAGGACTGGTCTTCCCTTCAGTCACTGTCACCTTCCACCCCCACTGGGCCTTGTGCAGACACGGAGTTAGTGTCTCATCTCCCCCCATTCCAGAAATGCAATGACCGACGAATTTGGGTCTGTCATGCAGGAGTCACTCGGTTCTGCTCTATGAAGGCCGAGGGATGGAACCAGCACCTGCTCCACATGACAACTGCTCCTGCACCGAGTTCTGCGAGTTTTCAGGTCACTGTTTTACTGCCGGCTAGTAGTGAGCTCACCTAAGACACTGCATTCTTTCTGTTTCTCCTCCATGATCATGTGCTTTGATATAAATTAGCAAATATAATGGAACCGCTACAAAATAGTATGTGATTATCATGCCAACTTGCTTGTACCCTCCAAGCAGGCCAATGTCCAAGGTCTCACTAGAATGCAAATTGAGCGACACACAGCCTACTTCACCAAGAGCACGAGAAGAATGCCTCGCTTGACATACGATGGCTGGGGGTTGCAGAGAGAGTCAAACTGAAACCTAAGACAGAGGGAAAGAGAGGGACGGGCAGGAAAGGGATCAGTGGGGGCAAAATCAGTGAGAACAGAAGGGAAGCATTGAGGAGATAGAAAAAGAGTCAAAGTTTTAAAAGGAAAGGAAATAAACTTTAATGGGAAACCATACACATATCCTTGAGCGTCTGACCTGTATAGTCACCTGCTTACAGGGCTGCAGCAAAGCCCAGGTGCACAGCCGGCACCTTGTCCATCTGCACAAACGTACTGTTCCTAAATCAGAGTGTCTGTTCCTGCGCTGCCTGGCATGCCTGCTGAGATGCAGCCTCGCCCCCTCCTGGACCACCTTGCCCTCCGGCTCCAGAGAATGCCCGGCCGCCATCTCAGAGTCTGAGCACACAGCCTGGGAGACATTTGCTTCCCTCCCCCAGGGGGCTGGGGCAGTCCCAGACACTGCTGACTGCGTCCCTTCCATTTTCCACCGCCTCCCTCCCGTATCCTCAGGTCTGAACAGGGGCAGGATTTCAGAACCAATGCTTAGAGCTGCGCCTCACTCCTCCCGTGCTGCTCTGCTGCCACCTGGTGCACCCACACGTAACGTACACACTTGACCCAGACGGCTAAGGGAGAAAGGAGTCTGAATGCAAGTGGCACAGAACTACATTACATGGAACTTCCTGTGGCTATTTAAAAGCTAGATATAGAAACTGTCTTCAAACTGTATACACTAAATCATAAATGCGACCTGGGCTAAAATACTACTCAGATTCTATTAAAGAGCTGACTGGGGAGAACAAAATTTCACAAATAACTTATCTTCACAAAACTCAAAATGTCACAGTTTAATGCTGATATTACTTACAAAGATATGTTTTGGTCCTACAGAAAAGCGCAAAATTCCACAGAATTAATGCATACAGGGTGGGGCAAAAGTAGGTTTATAGTTAAAATACAAAGAAATAAATATAAATAAATAACTAGTAAATTATAATGTAAGAATAAACTGTGTTTTGCATTACTCACAACTGTAAATCTACTTTCGGCAACCTCTCTATTTACAGAATAAAAACCAACCAAAAATCATGGAATAAAAAGTAATAACCAAGTTGTTTAATTTCAGCCTTCCTATCCTCATTTGTAAACAAAGATAATGCTACCTCCCTCACTGAACTATTTTAAAGGTTAAATAAATAAGTGAACATGAAGTACACATCACAGTGCCTAGCACACAGCAGGTGCCTAATAAATGGCAGCTGCTATCATGATGATGGTAGTGTATATATGTATATCTATTTCTATATCTACCTCCAATACACACACACACGCGCACACACACACACATCTATGTCACACAACAAACTAAACGTGTTTTGGTTTTTTTTCTTCAGTATGATGTTCTTAAACCCCTTAATTTTCAAAATTATCACCTGATGGTTATAGAGCCAAAGAAAAACACAATGCCTGACTGACTGTCTCACAAGAAGCATGTATTCTGCACTGAGGCAGGGCACACACACCACAGACTGCTGTACACCACCCATCTTTACAAATCAGAGAACTCGCACTCTGACTGCTGCATTATATAACCAAGTATTGAAATGTTCGGAATTCTTCCAGTCAGTGATAGAGAGGCATTAAGAAAGGAATACAGCTTTTTCAGGGATGGGAAGAAATGAAAAGAACAAACCACCTGTTTAAAAAAAAGCACCAGAATGTTCACTAAAAACTGTTAAGAGTTAAAGGATCAGGGTCGAAGGAAAGAAGCAGTGCAAATTAACTACGGCTATGGAGAGGCAGAGCAAACTCATAAGGGAACTGGTAGGTGTAGAAGGTGCGCAGGCACCGGTCCCACTCTAAAAGGCAGGTCTGATTAAGCTATTCTCCTACAGGATGGGGGAAGGGCAGCCAGACCGACGCTGGGTTTACCTTCGTACTTGTGCCTGGGCTTAGGAGGGTTTTTGCCTGAAGGAAAGAGAGCTAAAGCCACACAATAAGAATGAAATATTTTTAAAGTCTTTTAAATTACAATGCTCTACTAATGTTTTATTCTTAGCATTTTTATTTCCCCAAGGAACTCATGCAGAATAAAATCTTGTATAGCACAGAATATAAAATAAAATGCAAAAGAATTCACTAACATCTCAGATGCTACAAACAACTATCTTTGTAATAAATGTATGTATTTTGGATCTACATTATACAAAAAGATAAGTATTTATAAAGATTGTGCTACCTTTAGTGATTATTCCATAAGACCACCTAACTTAACTCAAACAGTTCTCTTATACAACAGAGGTTTCCCCAAAGGAAGAACTAGTTCTACCAAATTTAATATTTATATAATCACCAAGTGAAAATGAAGGCGGAAGGTACTGTTTGGTTTTAGTATCTAAAGTAAAATTTGACTGTAAGACACTATGCAGTTTTGCCAGGAAGCACTGCAGAATTACTGTGGTCAATGACGAGAACAGAGGAAATAAATAGTGCATAGAAGAAAGCATATTCTTAACTCACAACGTTTCAGACTTCTTTGCACAGCAAATGATCTGTACTCTTTCACGTGACCAAAGTTGCCTAATTCATTAAGCTCAATAAACACAATTAACTAATTAAACAATTTTCACCCATTTCCATAAAGTTAAACACAACATTGGTTAATGAGGAAAGATCTCACTTTCCTTCTTTGTTTAAAGTATATTATTATTTAATACAACTATAATAATCACTTGAAGATTAAATCTGTTCATGATAAAATCACATACAGGGGTGGGCAAAAGTAGGTTAATAATAATACAATAATTAACAATAAAAGAACAACAGTTTAGCATACTTACAACTGTAAACTTACTTTTGCTCATCCCTGTATATACCTTTAGAGACTTATTAAGTTTTCAAGAGGAAAACAGAAAAATACAAGTAACCACCCTGAGCATTTGTAAAGCTGTGGTACAGTAAATGTACAAACTACTTTCATCGCTAACTGAGAATGGAAAAGTTATTGAAACATCACTAGAATGAGAGCTCTAATCAGCCTCCACTCACCTGTGACTTGTGGTACATATGGCACTGACAATCTCTCAACACTATAGCCACTTCCACCTAGTGACTCTGCAATCTTGTTGGTCAAAAAGTACAAACTTTTGTCATGTTTCTCCAAAGATTTTGGAAGCCTGTCAGATTGATCAAACAAAAGTAATTCAGTGTTATTTAAATTACCGTGCAAAAATAAGTTATCATTCAAACATTCCAGGTCAAAGCCTAAATATTATAAATGAACTGTAATTAGCAATAGGCATAGTATAATTTAGAGGACTAATGTGAGCTCTTTAAAGCAGGACACATGGTTCCTCCTATTAACCATTCTGCTGTGACTCATTCCCCAATAGCGGAGAGGTCAGGCTTACATTGTCTTGTTGGTATTCACACATTACATGATAAAGAGGACTAAATTCAGCTTTAACTTGCAAGGTGATTAAAACCTACTGAGAGAAGAACATAAACATGCCGTCTGTACTAGTTAATGAAAAACCGTATGGGCCGGCAAGTGACAGGAAGCACTTGCCCAATCACATAAGCTTCTCTTTCCTATCAAACGGCCTGATTTTATCTTATGTTGATGCTTTCAATAGAAAACCGCTTTTAGAGCCCAAAAGTGTGAAGAGCACATTGTTCATTTATTTTTTTGTTTGAATAGCAAGGAAGAATGTAGTGTATAAATTATTAATTTTCCTTAATATAGTCTTTCTCCCAGAATTTTATGAGTACTGTTATCTATTATGGAAAATCTTGAACAGGATATTGTATTTCTTTAAAGGAGTGTTCATTTATATGAGAACATGCTATTTAGGAGATATATCTCCATATTAAAAAGATAAATATTTTTTAATCAAAGATTGATCTATGTTTGCACAAGCCTATATTTATCATGCATAAGAACTTCTATGGCAAGAGAAAGAAGTGAGACAAATTAAATGCCAGAAACACAAAACATGATTATTATAAAACACCAGAAAATTATTCTCAGCAGCTGATTCCTTTATAATCACTGACTGTTCTCTCAAGTCAGCACCCCGCCTTAAAATGTGAAGATTTAACATACGTGCACTTATCTCTGAAAACGTGCTCTGGCAGAAAATAAGGGGCTTCCATCGTCCGCATTTCAATAACCTGAAAAATACCCAGAAACAAAATAAAAATAGGAAACCTCTCTTCTCAGGACCCTGCTATGAAAACATGGAAAGCTAAAACAACAACAAAAAACAGAAACAAAAACTAAACATATATGAGAAATACCATCACTTTATTTTTAAATTTAAACTCTTACAGCCCAAACGCAGAGTTCATTTTGTTTTTACATTTTACATTATTTTAAAAATTCACCAGGTAACAAAATCATGACAATAAAGTAATATATGTAGTAAAAACACAATGACCCGTTACACCTGATTAAACCTACTGCAAAGGGTCAGAACACGTATGTTCTCAGCTGCCTCTGCTTTGGAAATCCCTCACAAAGCACCAGCCCTCGGCATGCCCCAACCCCGTGCTCCTTGGGCAGCCCTCAGGAGAGGGCTCAGTGCACGGGAAGTCTGGCTCCTCCGTCAACTGTGAGCAACCTAAGGGGTAACTCTGCTTTCACAGCATTAAATATTCACTTGTTTAGTGAATGAATGAGTTCTATTTCTTAGAATGCACTAAAATCCAACATTTTAGTAAGGACTGAGAGATGTACTCCCAATTCCATAAGATGAGGTTCCCCTAAAATGTTTTTAAATCATTCAAGTAATTATTTAATGAGTTACTGCTGAAAAAGCCAAATATAGTCGAATGACCGAGAACAAATCTCTGAGAACAAAGTTATTCAACTTTTGAGATGTGGCTCAAGTAGACTAGTTTAAAACAGTAACAACAAAAATAGTAAAATTTAAGAAAATTTAGATACTAAGATTCATAATGGTTTAATGTAGTTTCCATTTACAACAGAGGATCCAGAAAAGACCCAGTCACTGCATAATTCTATGGAATTATCTGAATTTGATACATAAACATCAAAATTGAAATTAATCATCACCAAAAGAAAATCAGCCATGTTTGTATAAAAACCAAGTTGAGGAGCTTTTCGCAATATCTGACCTTGGTAACATGCTGGCAAAACGCAGGGACGGCGATCATCTGGCTGACGAAGTTGAGGTAGGCGGCCACCAGCGCCATGATGCCGCAGCGGTGGAACATGGGCAGGTTGTCCTCGTTGAGGATGGCGCTGTCCTTTAACAGAAAGCACAGTACAAGGCTTAGGCTCCCAGGTCCCTCCACGGCGCCACTGAGAGCTGCAGGTGGTGTGGAGTGCTAACCAAAATGTCACCTTATAAGAAGTTATTTTTTTTTAAATTCTAAAAGGAGAATAAAAGCCCATTTATAGAAGAGTAAAATCTCTCAACTAGCTTTTCCTAAGAAAAAATAGTATATATATATGTGTGTGTGTATATATATATATATATATTAAATATATAAACATCTCTCTGAAATACACATATAATATATACACATACTCTCACTGCTTACTGTCCTTTTTTACAGAATACTTAACTCCTAACCAAACAACTAAATATATATATTATTTAATGACTATCTTCCCCACTGAACTCCAAGTATGAGCTCAGGGATCATGCTTTCCTTTCATCACAGTATTTTCCTGGGGACTCGGTCAATATTTAGCACACAAACAAATGCTCATTCAACATTTAACAAAACAAATGCCTATGGTCATTGTCTTGAGTATTATAGATTTAAAACTAGACACTCCCTTTTAAAAATTCATGTCCTGCCGAAACCGGTTTGGCTCAGTGGATAGAGCGTCGGCCTGCGGACTGAAAGGTCCCAGGTTCGATTCCGGTCAAGGGCATGTACCTGGGTTGCGGGCACATCCCCAGTGGGGGATGTGCAGGAGACGGCTGATCGATGTTTCTCTCTCATCGATGTTTCTGACTCATTATCTCTCTCCCTTCCTCTCTGTAAAAAATCAATAAAATATATTTTTAAAAAATAAAATAAAATAAAAATTCATGTCCTTGGATAAGTGCAACAACACTTTAAAGATGGTATCTGTTTCATACAAAAATGTTTTCCTCAATGAAAGGCTACGAAAGCATACCTGTAAAGCAATGGCTAAGCGGATGAGATCAATAACCACCTCTTCATTGGCCAATTCAATTGTCATAAGAGCAAGAGAAGTATAGAGTAACTCATAGTTTTTCTGAACGTTGTCTTCCTCTTTACAGCCCAAATATATGTGCCGATATAGTTGTTGCCCATTCTGAAAAGGGTCATGACAGAGGAAAAAGATGTTTGCTTCAAATGCAGTAAAGGCAGATTTCACATGCATATAACCTCTTATAAAGTAGCTATCTTATTACACAATATACGGTGGAAGAGAAATTTAAACTGATAATTAGATGGTCAAATTGTATCCCCATCATTAACATCAACAAATATACCAGCTACAAACTACAAACTAACAGAAGAGTTGAGGAAGAAGCCTTAAATAAAAACAGCAAGTAAGAAAAAGTGTTAGTGTCAACAATGAAAATATTTTTAGTGGTATTTGAAAAGACAAAAGCAAACTGCAGATTGATATAAGCAAAAACTAAAGTGGATGGCAGGGTCAGGGGGGCCTTGGTAATGAGGGGGGATCTGGCTGAGGGCGAAGGTGCTAAGCTGCCTTGTCTGAGAGAGGAGCCTCCTGGGAGGCGGTTAGCGCTCGTCCAGGGAAGAGCCTTGCAGGTTCAGCTATGCGTTGGCATGAAGTCCCCAAAGGCAAGTCTGAAGCTGACACAGAGGGAGAGGTTACAGAAATTCCCAGGGACTGCGCAGAGGTTTCCCCCAAACCACGCCAACCTCAATCTATTAATAAAATATGGCTTCATTTCAAGGCCATATGTCAATATAAAACTACCTAACTATTCAAATGGCTTCCACTTACATCATTATTTAACTCATATCATGCATTATTTTTTAGAAGATAATCTCACCTTTTTCATGAAACTTGTGTCTTGTCTACAGATTTTTTCTCTTTTGATCTTTAGGTCAGCTACATCAGGTATTATTCTAGAGATAATCAATATATAATTTTTAATAAACAGCACATTTAGTTATAATATCACGGGTTATGTGGCAAATCAAGAGCTATACTTAGGAGTCTAAACTCATTTTAATGAGCATGCTAAGTCAGTCTATTATGTAATCATATCACTGACTTAGGAAGTTTAATTAAGAATTTTATAAAGTAATCTTGACTCCTAATGCCATTTCTAAGTTTAAAGCAAAATTAAAATTCATGTAACTAGTAACCACTAGTAGTTGAGATCTTTGAAAAGACCTCTAAACATCTGCTATCTTAAACTACACTGATAATTAAATGCTCTTGATACCAATTAAATAAAACTCTGGATTAATAAAACCTGAAAATCCTAGATTTAAAAATATCACATTTAAATATGTGAATGTAGAAACTAAAAAACATCATCATTAAGCCTATTTCAAGATGGCGCACTACCTGATCCCTCGAAGCTTTGCCCTGTTGTCATGGCGATCCATGAGATTATGCATCACTTCCAAGACTAACTGTCTCAATTCATAGTCCTCCATGAGGGATGGTGACAGCAGAGGATCCAGAAAAGACCCAGGTAGCGCAGTAACAATCGTCTTCGCTTTGTACCCAGAGGTGACCTGATTACAGGGAGGAAGATCAAAGAAACAAACAAAACACCTTTATCATGAGTCCTTGTTTGGTAAAATTCTCAAAACTGTTTTATGAGAGCCATAAACTAAGGGGAACAAGTATGGACATCAGCCTGAATAAAAAAATAAAAGTTTTGTAAGGTGATGAGGATTTTACCGAATTACGAAAACATCATTCGTAAAGAGAGTAACCGTAATGACAGCCCCATTTCCCACATGCCAGGCAGGGCCTAAGCACCACGTGCATCAGCTGCACCCTCCCCACATCCCCGTGAGGTGGGCATGCGTGCATCCCCACTTTATACGAGAAAACTGAGGGTCAGAGAGGTTAAGAAAGTATGGGATAGGTAATCAGTGCTACATGAATATAAGATTAGCTAGCAAATGGTTCAAGGAAGAGCTGAAAATGTTTAAATTATTCTTTTAAATTAAGCAGGTTAGGTTAATAGGAATACATTTTCAGTTTGGAAAGCGGTACTTTATTACATACTTGATTTGACATTTCTGAATGAACCTCTATTTTAAGCTTTTCATATCTTCAGCGTATCTTAAACGCTGTTAAACATTTTAACCATACCACACAGACCTTCTTTCAGCTGACTATGTGGTACAATTAGGATTAGGTCAAGATGATCTACTAGGGAATTTGTTTAATGAAAAATAGGACCAGATAAAATTTGAGGTGGCAATTTAAATGTACATTTATATTTGCAAACATATTTGGAACATGTATTATAGGATGGAGGTGACCTTATAAGCAAGCAAAGATATTGGTGGGACAACTGCTACCCCCCTAAAAATTAAAAATATATCCATGTCCCACACAACATACAAAAATAATCTTCAGATCAAAGTTTTAGATGTAGAAAGCCAAATTTTAGAAACTTTTTAAAGAAAATAATAAACAATGTGCTTATGTCATCAGAAGAGGCAAGGAGTGAAGACACAAATAAAAAAGAACAAAACACAGGAATGAACTGATAAAATTGGCTATATTAGAATTTAAAACTTCTTTATGACAAGTACCATAAACAGGATTAACATGAAAATCACATGAGATGTTTCTGTACTTCTCCCCAGGTATGAAATATTCCTTTTAAAAGATGAAATCTTGGACAAAAGATGTTCAGATTAAATTGTGAGAGCACCGACAGGGGAAGGACACATTCCCAACAGTAAGCCCCGACCAGCATTATGTGAAGTGTTGCTGAGTCAAAGAGGAATATAATTACTATGAAATAAGCACAGGGCCTCCCATGTTAGATATGCTTTTCCTTTTCAGCTACTTATAGCTGAATTATTTCCCAAAGAAGAAGCCACTATTGGGTCAGTGTGTGAAAGAATAGCATGACCCATAGACAAACACTGGATTTCAAGCCCAAGCTCTATTCTTTAGCTCCGTGATGTGGTGAACCGCCCCCACGGCTTCCACTCCAAGTCCCTGAGCCCAGGCATCTCCAGCTATCACAGGGCAATACTTCCTGTCCTCTATATGTTTCATCACCATGAATGTCAAATAAGACGACAGGAGAAGGAAGGAATAAATAGTAAAAGCATAATAAAATACACAAGAAAATGAAAGCTAGTATTTAATTACACAAACCACAGAAAAAACGAACCATAACTAGGACCTGACTATGTAAGAAAAGAGGCTTCCACTGGGAAGCTGCTTTCACCTCCTCAGTAATGTGAGGAGGAGGGCTCTCACCTGTCGCAATGTCTTACCATAAGCAAGGATCTCAGCAACATTATCTGAATCCGCCTGGTTCCCAAGTCCCTAAAAGATACAGCATACTAGCATTATCTCATTAATAGTAATTAACATTCACATTACTTTATCTACTTATTATTCACTGATTTTAAAACTCTACTCATATTGGCTAAATAGATTTTAATAATAGCTAAGTCATGGCTCCCTTTATACTCTAAGTTTAATATAAATTAAAGAGCTATATGTAAAAAAATAAAATTCAAACAAAAATATTAAAGTTATTGGCTCTCAAAGGAAACAGACCTATGCATGTAATGACATGAAAATTAAATCATATGAATATATAACAAAACAACACAAAAAGATACTATACGTTGGGAAATATATTTACTGTAAATATAATTAATTGACTAATACATTTAAGAGGTAAAACCAGATGATTCAAAAAACAATTAACAAGTGGAAAATGGGTTATCTAATTAACAGTCAAAGAAATATAAATCAGCCGAGGCCGGTCTGGCTCAGTGGATAGAGCGTCGGCCTGCGGACTGAAAGGTCCCGGGTTCGATTCCAGTCAAGGGCATGTACCTGGGTTGCGGGCACATCCCCGGTGGGGGATGTGCAGGAGGCGGCTGATCGATGTTTCTCTCTCATCGATGTTTCTGACTATCTCTCTCCCTTCCTCTCTGTAAAAAAATCAATAAATTAAAACAAAAGAAAAAAAGAAATATAAATCAAATAAGACTATTATTTCCTTACTAAAGTAGCAAAAAACACAAAAATATTCACAAACTAAAGCTTTAGCATGTTTTAAAATCAAATCTATAAAGTGAGGTGACCAAGACATAGGATCTTTAAAATCACTTTCAGTTTTAGAATTGTAGGAATAAGTCAACATTCCTGCTATATTGATTTTAATTATTGAATTTTTACAGAAAACTTGAAGCTTTACCCTAAATATCCATGTATATAGACAATATCCAGGCTAAATAAACCTTCCACCTGGTCCATAAAAGACACAGAAAATTAGAGAATTTATGATATGCTGAAAACTGATTCTAAAAGCACACAATGCTGATTCAATTGCTTAGCAATCTAGCACCATAAACATACTACTTTCCACAGAACTTTTAGTACTAGTGATTAAAGAAACAATACAACACTTTCTAGATTTCTTTAAAATGAAATTAAACCAAGATTAAGTTGAAATTTATAGTTGGAAAACCGCATATGCATACCCTAGTTGACTGACGTCCAAAGTATGAGTGGATGTTCCAAAAACTGGTACCTTCCCCATAATGAACATCATGATTTCTGACCTCTGATAATCTGGTAAGTTACTTCCAAAGAACCCTATAAAAATATTAAGATAAATTTTACAAATTGAAATTTTTCCATATAGTAAAAAAATATTTTAAACCAAATCTTTCAATATGTGGTAAACAATGTCTTTAAACACTAATGATATTAAAATTTCATTTAATCAAAATCATTTAATCATAGACAATACAAGATTTATATAATGGACTAATAAGTCTTTTGCATATAGTAACAGTGGCAAATCGTCATCAATTTGAGTTGGAGTTTTAGAAAAAGGAAAATAAAAAACACCTTTTGTTAGTATTTCTAATGAACTCTTGTTCATATGCTGTGAGCCTACTTCCTTATTCTAGTAAGGAAGTCAATAATGAGGACACAGGTAAAGAGGTCAATAATTAGGTCACTGCCTTGGTTTCCTGGGATTGTTAAATGTTTTAGAATGTCATAATAGGCCAAGATACAGTTTAACTCTGTGAGTTAATTCGAAACACATAATTCAGCTGATATTAAAAAACAGTAACTTGTTTGTCATTTTTCTCATGAACTCTTGGGTTTGGTGGATATTTTAAGCTTACCTGCTCTAGGATTTGAAGGTTTACTTCCTGGTCATAAAATACTTACAAGATTTAATTAACACTTACTCAAACTTCAAACTTTTTGTTTCTTTGAAAGCTCAGAACAGATATCAAATCATGGCTATTTTTGTTCAGATCTTAAAATGTACAATAAAATCATTACAGAGACCTTCTGACTTGTCATCAACCCCTATTATCTATAAATATAAAACCCTAATATGCAAATAGACTGAACAGGGGAATAATCAAACAATCAGTTGCTATGATGTGTGCTGATCCACCAGGGGGTGTGCACAGAACAAGACGGGTGTCAGCAGCAGGCGGCAGAGCGCGGAACATGGCAGGCATCGGCCATGGCGGGATGGTGGAAGAGGTAAGCGGGGACACCAGACCAAGGTGGGGCACTGGTTGCTGTCATCAGGGCGAGCCTCTGGTGGTTACTGAAAACTCTTTGCTGTCATGCACTGCGGTCCTGCTGGGTGCTTGCACCTGCTGCTGGTGCCAGAGCCGCTGCTCACAACTGCTGGCCCCGATCGTTTGACGCCCTCAGCGGTTGCGGCAGCTGCCGGCTCTGATCACCCCTCAGGGCTTCTCCACCTCCTCCTGCTCCTGAGGGGTGATCAGGGCCAGCAGCTGCCTCTTGATGGCCCTGCTTCTGGCGCCAGCCCCAATCACTTAACGCCGTCAGCGGGTGCGAGTCGGGGCAGCGCCATCAGTGTGTGGGAGCAGGGCTGCAGGCAGACAGGGGCTGGGGCGGTGGGGGGGACCTGCAGAGGGAGGGGCCGGGCGGGGGCACGTAAGATGGGCCGAGACCCACCCCTGTGCCCACAGCAGCCTTGTGCGCAGCCCACAGTTCCTTTCAAGGTGCACGAATTCGTGCACTGGGCCCCTAGTTGGAGTTAGTAATAATCCACTTACACAAACTCAAGTTGTTCTACTCATGATTTTGAATGGACATGAGTTAAAAACCATTTCCCATTATCACATACTTCAGCAATAAAAAATCTCATGATCGTAATATTACTCAATCTGCATAAAATGTATTATTCTAGCTAACACTTAAGGAACACATATTTCTGGGGAAATAAACTCCTTTGTATTTGGACCTCACAACAACCTTATGAGACTAGTTACTATTATTAGCCTCAGTTTCGTCTAGTGGACGTGAAGACAAGAGAGGTTAAGAACTCATACAAGAAACTACACAGCTAATATTAACGTTAGCCTAAGACGAGGCCAATGCCATTATCACTCTCTCCTTCCTCCTTATAAGGTACTTTTAACGCTTCAGGAACCCAATTAGAAATGTTTCCACTCACCCTACCAAACTGGACACTGACTTTCTGTTCCCAGGGAGCCTGTCGTTACCACCGGGACATAAAGTCTCTAGCATGACCACTGTGAGGAGAGCCCTGAAGGTGACTCCTTCTCTGTACCCCCTGCTTGTACTGGAACTGCTGCATAACAACACCAATGACCCCAGAAACACCGCAGGGAGCTAGGTTTGGTAATTTTAAAAGAAAGAACGTGGCCAGCAGCCTCCGAACTTCCAGTGCTGAAGCTACAGCAGCGTGACCCGCGGCCCACAGCCAGGAATGTGCACCTCACCTGCCACCTGCCAGGGCACCGAGAACTTCAACAAGGAAACCAGAGTGTGGTTTACATAGAAATCGTACTTTCTGTGCTGCACTGCATTTATTCTGTCATGTTTTAATTTTCACATTTTATTTCGGAATGTGTTATGTCACAGAAATATTGCTCGAATCTGTTGTATATACGTTTATAATAAAATACTTGAGAAACTATAAATTAAACATTCTAAAGTAAAACGGTAACACTGAATTAACTAGAAGTTGCAAAAGCAATTTACATTGACTTTGTGAAAACAAGATGAGCTGATCTGATAGACCATCTTAAAGTATCACTGCGAACCCGTAAACAATGCCAGTCAATCCCGGAGCCACAGTAAGAGCGAAGGTCACCGCACACCGACACCAGCTGCTCCCGCAGAGCTTCTCCCTGCTGCCTCCCAGGGGCGTCTGGGAAGGGAGAGGGCCTCACCTATCGTTTGGATGATGGCGTTCTGCACAATCTTCTCGTCGTTGTCTTTGGAGGCCGAGTTTAAGCTGACGCTGCCCATCGATCCCCCGTGGACATCATTCGCTTCGAATTCCACACTGAGACGCAGGTGCTTCAGCAGCGTGTTGAAGACCTCCAGCACCGTGGGTCCTGCAGGGGTCACGGAAGTGAGCAGACCACCTTCCCAGTGTGCACGCAAAGCCAGCTCCCAAATCCCTCCAGAGGTCTCTGGATATGTTCTAAGTAACTGAATATACTCACTGATTTATGAACTAACCAGTTCATTAAAAAAGTAAACGAGACATATCTAAAGGCCTAGTTATTCCAACAAACATTAACTGGCACCTCTAAGCAGCTCACAATTTGAATCACTGTCTAACCCACACAAAATGTGTATATATTTATAAAGATTCCTCAAAACTTTCTACCTATCTAATCTTGTCTATTCAAAATAATGTGTATGGGGACATCTAACTTGATTGTTGGGTCAGAATCCATAGAATTATGATATTATACCTCGTTGTAGCATAGGAAATTTATTTTGCATCTGTTGCAGCTGAAGAAGGAAGAATTTGCCTCAATTACTAGACAGACAGCCACATTGAATCACTTTTTGGGATGTACAGAGCCCAGCACATGGTGCCCCACACATAACTTCCCAATGATATAATCTGCTTCCATCTCTTTGAGGTAAGTTACAAGATAAGCAGTGAGAAGGCAAATCAAAAGGCCTACTCTTATTCAACAGTGAATGAATGTGAGAATTTATCAGTAGAGTATTTCCACTTTGATTTTGAACCAAAAAAATATAACCAGATTTTCCTCCTAATGCCACTAATTTTATTAAAGACCCTTCCATTCTTCTAACCATGTACACGTAAAAATATCACCATCTGTCCCGTCCCTTTTCGTTATAGTCAGCTATGAAATCCTGTTGACTTGACATTCCTATCGCTGCCATCGACATCAAGTCCCCTCCCTCATGCCTACCATGATGACAACCCGTTATTTCTAATGTCCTGCATTTTGCAGCCAGATGAATTATCCTAAAACACTCATCTGTCAAAGATTATAGTAACTCTTTAATGAGTGTCAATCAACTGCAAAGCTGTATCTGTGATCTGGCCACAACCTGAACTTGAAAGCCACCACACCTTGTAGCCAAACAGGCTGCATAATATTTGCTCCTGCCAATCCATTTTCCCTCACTTCTCTGACCCTGATTTTCTTACATGTGATCCAATTCTACCTTTCATTACAGTACTAGGTAGAGTTGTTGAACTCCAAGTAAACTATAAGTTTCTTTTATCTGTATCCTCCCAAATCTTTATAATATAATTGGCATCCAAAAATCTTTATTAGAAAAAAGGAGGAAGGGAAGGAGAGATTGATTTGAGGGAAAAATACTTAGTTAATTGTACACTAAGGAAGTCTGAGAATAATCATGTGAACTAAAAATTTCAAGAAAAATTACAGCACATTTAAAAAGATTAGAAATATTTTCAGAGGGTTTTGCATACACTGCGCTATCGACTGAAACGTTCTGAAATAGATTAAGGCAGAAGTGGTTTCTTTGTTTCTGTTTTTCTGCTAGCACTCACCTATGGAACCTTTGGCAGCAATGGCGACAGCCTCTAACAGAACCTGAATAATACCTGCTCGAACCCGTGGAGAATCTTTTTTACGAGCATCAAGGTGCCCTAGTATCTCCTGGATCACATGGTGAGAATACTGAGCCTGAAAGAAAAAAAAACAGCCCAAAGACATATGAACAGTTACATGCATCCCAGCAGAATTCATAACAAGACCACGTGACACTTAGACGTCCACTTACAGGAGCCAGTACTTATGTCATAGACCAATATGTCGCCATTAAAAATCATCCTTTTTAAGAATAAATAGGGATACTGGAAAATATTTATGATACCCTGAGTGAAAAAGTAAGTTGCAAAATATTATGTTTAATAAAATTCTATCTGGATTTTTAAAAGTATAAAAGACTAGAATTATATATACCCAAATATTAAAGCTGGCCATTCCTGGCAGGAGAATTCATGAGAAATTTTTATTCTTTATATTTTTCTGTAATTTCATAAAGAACACTTACATACTCTTACAATTTGATAAGAGAACAAAATGTTGTTAAAAGACAGACAGACATGACATTTATAGTACCTCTCTCCTATTCAAACTAGATAAATACTACTTTTTATTGTGAACACGAATAATGCTAAACAAAGCTTTCATCTAATCATGAGCCATTATCAAAATGAAAATCTTATCAATGTGTACCTGATGAAATTTAAATCAAGAAGATATGAAATTTGCAATTTACAACAGACATTTTACCAATATACATAAATTTGATCAATAACTGTAATTGACATTGGGATGCAAGTCTAAGAAAGTGTTAAGTCTTGTTCTTGTAAACAGCACACCTGGGATATAAATCCTGGTATGACCATTAGTAAAGTTGTGTTTCTTACAACCTTATCTCCTTTGAATTAATGACTTTTATGTTAAAAACATACACGGTGTAAAAATTGACCTAAAATCCCACTTATATTGAGAGCTAACTGGTCTGCTCTGGTTTGGAGGGAAGGCAAAGGGTCCTCTGCAGTAGACAGGAGTGTCCCAGCACAGCTTCTACAAAGACTAGGAGGTAACACAGGCACTACTGCAGAATAGATACTCAATAAATGGTCGTTGTTATCAGCTACACACTGCGGTCACAAATATCAATTCCAATACTAGTTTATCAGTGAAATATAAGTGCACATTGTATTAAATAAATGCACAATAACAGCACTATCATATAATCATTTTTCTTTTTGTTACATATCTTTCCATCCTGGCAAAGAAAAACAATTACGTAGTAAATAAAAATAAATGAGACAACTAAATTAAGAATATGTTTTATATCTTATAGCAGCAATTTTCGACCTTTTTCATCTCATGGCACACATAAACTAATTACTAAAATTCTGTAGCACACCAAAAAATAAGTTTTGCCACTCTGACTAAAAAGTAAAAAGGTATCATTCTGATTCATTCACACTGAAAGGCTATTGTTATGTTGTCTGTTGTAGTTCTTTAAAATTTGGCAATCTAAGGGAAAAGAGGTTGGTGCATCTGACGAAATAGTCAGGTACTGCATGTTTTAACAATTCTGTGGAACACCAGTGTGCCGTGGTACACTGGTTGAAAATCACTGTCCTACAGTGTTCTATCTCTCTGAAAAAATGTTTATCAACACAGAACCAAAATTACTTACCTGAATGGAATACATTATAATTTTAAAGCAGTGAACTGCAAATTCATTGGGATCCCACAGTTTGTGATGATCTAAATGCCTGAAATTAACAAGAAAATTACTTTAATAATTCCTTTTTTATTAAACTTATTTTCCTTTAGAATCCTTGACAACATGCAAATCTTTGCAATCAAAAATTATCTAAAATAAAGTCAATGTTCTAATTCCAGATACATGATATATATTACTCCCAAATGCCAAATTCTTTCATAAAACACCAACAATAAAAGGCTAGAATATATGTAAGACTTTTATATGAGCTGGCAAGAAAGAAAAGTTACTCATTCCAAACTCTACAAAAAGGAAGGAATCTGGAGAGTTGAGTATACACTGAAGCCACCCTATTTTCTGCCTCTGTTCACGCATCTCAACCTGCGAAGACCTACTGCTCCAGGTTAGCCTACCTCCAAAGAAACACCCTCAACATCCCCAAATCAACTTGAATTCTGTTTTAACCCACTAGAGCACTTTTTGGCCTTTTCTCATAACCTATATATTATATTTCATTATAGTGCATGTCAATTAGCCATCAAGTTTGTTAAGGACCAGGACAGTTTTATTCAGGTATATAGTCCCCAAAATACCTGATACCTTACTTGCAGAGGACTTTCAATATTTAATTATCTAAACAGCTAATACATAATTAACGATTTCATTAACATGAATTAATCAACCATCACAGAATCGGGTTTTAAGTCCATCAAGCTCTACATGGAATATAGCCCACTTCCATGTTATTCAAGTACAGTTAATTGGGTAATTTCTACCTTCCAGGCTAGCTCTATAGATTTTTAAGGCTTTACATTGTACTTTTTGGTAAAAAAAAAGAATACTTAATAAAAATATTAAGATAGAAGCTAGAATTCTTAAATCAGCATGTCTAGACATTAAAAAATAAATCTGCCTTTAGTTATATTTGAAATCATTTTGATTATTTCTTGGTATATTTTTTATAAGAGTCCTTAAATGGTAATTTTGGAAGGGGGAGGCAGGTGGTGAAAATCGCAGATCCTTTTGAAAATCTAATGAGTCTCTGATTTTTAATATAATTTTGTGGTTTACATATTTTTATAACTATGATCCCAAGTATTTCCCCTAAGTAAAGACTTCTCGATGTTACTTCTAGACTGCTTTACATATTCCATAAACACATTCTTACAATCAGGAAGAGAAAAGAACAAGGCAAACGATTAAGAAAAGAAAGACCTGCAAAAATGTGCAGCAATGACACAGATTAGCAGTAGCTCTGTCATCTGAAGAGTGAGGTGAACCCAGCGCCTTGACAGGGCTTGAAAGACGGTGTATATGTGGAGAACCTCAAAGCTCACAAACATGTTTTGCCAGAGGGAGAATACAAATTCCGATCAGAGATTCACTCTTCCTGCTCTGACTCAGTCACTGTGGCAAGAAGAAATTTCCTCAGAGCACAGGGTGTGCCCTAGTGCAGTCCAGCCACAGCAGAAAGCAAGCAAGGAAACAAGCCAGTCAATAAGAGGACCTGACCTCAGAGGTCAACAAAACGAAATACCTGATGCTTGGACGCTGTTAAGTTTTAATGTTTACCGTGGGTATGCATTTCCAGGTCTGTGGGCAGAAATTCAAGATAAAATGATGCACTTGGCAGCAAGCATATGACTGCACTTCACTTTTAAGGAGAAAAAGCTGGGGAAGCTTTTGGACCAACTCAAACATGTGGTATGTGACTAAATCCTGCACTTTTCCCACAATGCTCCACTGTTCCATTAGTAACCCCCTCATACAAGAAATGGTACTGTCCTCTGTAAGTACGTTAACACAGAATACAGCACAGTCACAAATAACCAGGAAAATACCAACTACTTACGCAAAAACTGGTCTAACAGCATTATTCATATTCCCAAAAGTCGCTCGACCCAGCAGCTCTCTGAGACAGTTTTCGGCCAGCACAGCGGGATTCTCCTCTTTGTCAGCTGCAGAGGGAGAAGAAGGAGGGCCTATGCGACTGGAAGAAAAGAGAAATAATAAACACAAATGTAAGAATTCTAACACTGGTCTAAAATTCAACAGAACAGATTTTACTTCTCAGAAATGGCAAAATGACACTTTCTTTTTATCCCCAAATATCTTAAAGAATGAGTAAGGAATAAACACAGTTTAACCTTTTTATTGAGAAAATTATAAAGTAAATAGCTGCTACTATCATTATTATTATTTTGGTTATTTCTAACTCCATGAAAAGCATGCTGGATCTCTAAAGAATAACAAAAGTGTAGCTCTAATTTCTATTTCTTACACTTGCAACTTTAAGTAATAGTAATTCAAGTAACACTTTGGATGGTCACTAATAAGCTGCAAATAAAGTATAAAATTATTCTAAAACAAATACAACTTCAAGTGTGTGAGTGAAAATCTGTGATCACAAAAGACAAATAATCTTTAAGAAAGGGCAGATATTTACCAGTAAACTCTCTCAGGTTTACAGACCACTTTTACATGATACTAAAGACAAAACTTTCTTAGCCTAGCGAGCAAGCACACATACATTCACACAAAGGTAACGCAGCCCCAGCCCTAATGCCCTTATTCAATACCTGTCGACCTCTTCTATCTTCTGCATGTTAAACAGCAAGGATGGAACAATTTTATCCATATGCTGGGGTTCCCAAATGGTAGCCCGAAGTTCATCATTAACTGTTTTGCGAACCACGCCTTGAATACCCCTGATTCCAGCAATTCGAATTCTATAAAAAAGAAAATTGAATCATGAAAAAAAGTAATTTAAACAAGTCTGCTTGTTTAGCTAAGAGAGTGAATCCCCCCAAAATATTGTTATCTCAAGTCAATAAAATGAAAATAACACAAGGCTAAGAAATTAAAATCTCAGAAATCTAAAATGGACAAAGAGATGAGGCAGCTCCAAAAGAGGCTTCCTTTCAGTCCTATCTTTTAAAAGTCAGCATTTAAAGTGTAAAAGGACCGTAAAATACAGTAATATCTAGTCTACATATAATTTCAGTAAGAGAATCAATCAAAAGCATTAGGTTTCCTAAGAGGATGATAATACTTTAAAGCAATGAGCTAGATTCTCTCCCTTTCTTGCCTACAGGTCTCAGAAGCTGAGCAAACAGGATTTCACTCTCTGAGCACCTGAGTGCTTCCTTAGGCTTTTCTCATGCTTCCTCTGGAGAGGCTCTTCCCGCCCTGAGCCCTTCTGGATGGAAGACTGCAGGACCAGGCTGGTTCCTTTCCAGGTCTGACAAATGAGAACTATCAGCAGGGAGTGCAGACAACCTCAGCCATATGTATACGTCCCTATATACCTGTGTGTACTGACATTTACATTATCATGTGCTTCTGTGACTTAAAATTCATCCCTCAATGAGACAATGCAGCCCACCCTCCCATCCCGATCCACAACCCCAACTTCCTCAAGCTCTTCCTCTTTCTTACATATATAAAAACATCCATAGGTTCAAGAGTAAGAAGTGACTAGAAAATAGCATGGTAGCCTATTTGCCCTAAAACATGTTCCCTCTGGCCAAATCTGCTTACTTTCTTTTTCACTACAACCAAACTATCCACCACTGAAGGTCTATTCAACTTATCCAGCACTGTCTTCCAACACCTACGAGAAGGGTTAGAGAATGGCAGCTATGGGACGAGGGTGGCACTGCTTTCCAAACCCCTGGGGAAAAGACACAGGCCTTCAGGGGGAGCAGATGGAGAATGGGAGCTGGCAGTAACACAATGCTGAACAGGTGAGAAGTGAACTGGGAGACTCAGAGACAAAGTTGTGTCTATTCATGCTGCTCCCTACGACATAAAGGGTGAGAGACTCTATGGCTATCACAAGTGGGCAAGCCTGACGTTACTACACGGTGTCTGCTTTATGCACCTGCTGCTACTCCTTGGGTGATGACAAGGTGGAGCAAACAAGATGACACAAGAATGGTGGCTGGTGCCTCGTGACACAGTAGCCTGAAGAGCACAGCAGAGTGTGCTGCCCCTGTCGGGGGCAGGTGGGACTACCTATAGCTATTACAGCTACCCAGCTGGCATCCAATTCAGGTCTAGTATCTGGTCTAACCAATATATTCTAGTCATGACCTCAAAGAAATTTTATAGTTTCCTTATCAGTAAACAAGACCAACTGTCTTACCTAAAGCATAGGAATGTTTGAATGAATTAAGGTTTGAATAAATTAATTCATATAAAGTGCTCAGTCAATAAAGGGTTAAACAAATTGGCCCAGAGTAAGCACTCAATAAGTGTTAGTTAAGCACTGTGATGATAATGATTATTTCTACCACAGCTGAAGGTTGCTCAGGAAATTAGAGTTTAAGACTGTGATGCATGACTTTACATCATCAGGAGCAGTAGGAACTGCTCCTGCAAGACAAATATTTTAAGAAAATCTTAACCATTATCAGACCCATTCCCCATTTCCCACCGCAGAGGCCCTGAGTTCTATCTGGTTGGGTTTTGCTAAATTAAAGGGACTGGTAATAAGTATCGCAGCTAAAACCTAAAGAGGAATACAAATATCCCTGAAGAAAACCAAAAGAGCTTTGACTTAAGGCAGAGCAGGAAAACTCTAGCCAGCTAAGTACGGCAAAGCATTTTATTTACTCATTTGTTTTTCAGGGACTGCAAATGAAATGTTGTCATTTTGGAATTTCAATTATCACAAAATACTAGAAAAACATCCAGTCAGAAAAAAGTACTACAAGGCCTCTCACTTGTGTATAGAAAATGTCAAGCTTCTTTTTGTAAACATTAATGAAAATTGTTACATGAAAATGTTCAAAAGACAAGATCTTTCAGTAGGGGGCGCTACATACTTAAAAATAAGATAATGTAATAAAATTCTGAATTTCTTAAATGCATCCTTTCATTAATTTTATGGATCTCATCAACACTTTTCACCTACACTGGTTTATATGTGAAACTCACCTCAACCAAAATTTAAGAAATGTCTATGTGCAGTTTATTAATCCTTATAATACTAAACCGAAAAAAAAAAAAAAAAACACGACATTCTGGATCATTTCTGTATTTTAAAAGAAAGCAAAATTGTTATAATCTTTAAAAAATTGCCATTTTCTTTAGCTAATTTTTATACTTTTTTGCCCCATTAACATTTTAATGTAAGCCCCTGAAAACAGGGAACAGTTTTAGAAAACATTTTTAACGTCCTTTAGGGATAAAAAAAGATATTTTAGTGGGGACTGGGAGACATAGAAAATTAATTATTACAAGATAGTTACAGTTATCTTTACATTTCTAAGGTTTTACCCTCATAATAAAGGAAGAACATCAGGAGTCTAAATGGCCTTGAGGAAAAATTATACTAACAGCATCTCAGACAGAAACAAATCTATCTGAAATCTCTCAGCTTCTTTCTCCCAAGTTAAAATAACTTTTATACTTGCTTTTGCTTGTGTGAACCAACACTGCAGGTTACACACTAAAAGCTAGTTAGCTGTATTTCTGCACATTCCCTTACTTACTTTGAAAGAAAAGTAAATTACAAAGCATGCTAAATCTTGCTAAACTGGCCCCACATAACTATGAATTCAGGTTAGTTTCTTTCTTTCTAGTGTATTATGGAAAAGCTCAAATTACTTTATTTACCAGGGTAATTTTTATTTTTAATTCTTAACTTTCAGCCTATGTATAGGCTGTGTTTGGAGATAAGTATTTGATTCCAGATTATTACTAGTTTGTATTTAGGAAAAATGTTTAAAAATGCTCAAATTAGTTGTTATGAGAACCTGAGATTGACAATGACTGGTAACACACCATTCAATCAATGCATTCATTCAAAAGGCACTTACTGAGAACCTACTATGCGCCCGGCACAATTCAAAGTGTTAGTGATACAGCAGTTCTCAAAATAAAGCTGTGGCCCTCCTGGAGTTCAGAGTCCAAAGAAGAGCAGAAGACAGAGTAACTGAGATGGGATGGGAGGGTTAATATTTAACAAATAAAAGGTGGCCAGGGCAGGACTCTCATGGTAAGGTGACATTCGCAGAAATGTGAACAAAGTGAGGTAAGCAGGGTGCCTGGGAGTTATTCTACAGAGACCGCTCAGTCCAAAGGCCTGGGAAAAGTGTGCCTGGTGTGTTCCAGAAGTGGCTGGGTTAGAGTATAAGGGGGAAGAAAGACAGGATGACAGGCTCTGACACCGGGGGTTACAGGAGTAAAGACTGAACTTTACTTGCGATGAGCTAAGAAACCATGCTCAAGTTTGCTACTTCAGTCAGTTCTAGCAGTAAGAAGTTGTACTTCAGGAACAAAGCATGTATTCTCATGTTTCCTTTAGTAATTATTATGTAATATATAAGCATGGTACTCACTAATAAATCGTGCTATGCCTTTAAATTATAAAGTTAAACAATACATACTCCGTTCGTACATCTGGATCACTATGGCAGGAATGACACATGGCACTGAAGCGAGATACAAAGAAGTCATAACGTCTGTGATAGGATGGCGTGTCTTCTTCAATATTTGCAAATTTGACAAACTAAAGAAAATAAACAATATAAATACGTTACCACCTTTTTTAAAGTGGACCAAAGACATTTATTTTCATTTATTACTTGTTACATTAACAAGCAATGTCTAAATAAGAAGCACTTATCACAAATACCACATACATATACAAAAAGAATTTTTGAACAAAGAACTTTAGAAAATCAAGGCTATAGCATTATGTATATTATTATAACCTGCTAATCCCGTTCCTTCTGAGTGAATGAGCTGACTCTCTAGAACAGGGGAGAACAGGGGTGGGGAACGTCCAGCCCTTGGGCTGCAGAAGGCCCACAAAATCATTTGTTCTGGCCCTGCCAAGGCATCAGGGGTGAGTTAATGAAAAGTCTGACCCCATATAGCAGGCTAGTTTTTAAGTGGATAATTCTGTATGGCCCGTGAATGATGTTATAAACATCCAAATGGCCTTTGGCAAGAAAAGGTTCCCACCCCTGCAGGTCTAGAAGGAAAGGCTTTGCTCTGAAGCTCGCCTACATTTCCTGGGAGCTGGCTTCAGTGCTGCCCTCTCAGGCCCAACCTAAGGAATTTTCTTAATTGTGAGTAGGAAATCTTTCTGGACAGCTTTCTATACACAACACATGAGTGAATAACCTTTATACAACTATTGGACAAGGAAAAGGAGGACATAAACTGAAAGAAACATAAACTCAGTAGAGGAGAAAAATACTGAGATGGGTGGAATTCATTCTACCTCCTTTCTAAATATTAAAAAAAAAAAAAAAAGGAAATATCCATGTCTAGAAAATGTTAAATACCTACATGAATCATAGGCCTGGCCCTAAGAGTCCTTAATATGCACCATCGCTTCTCATTAGCTTCCTTATTCATTTGAGGATTTTTTAATTCTGGACACTAAATAGCCCACAGCAATAAACTACTGATTTACTTGCAACTTTAAATGTATATGTAAACACCTGCCAGGCTCCAGACTGCTGGCTATAAAGAGCTACATCCAAAAGGATTATTCAACCAAGTTTACTGATACTTTCTGAGAAACAAAACTGAAAGAGCATAGGTAAATTTTAAAGAATGAAATTGTGATACCAAAAATATTCTAAATTAATTCAGCCAGAGCTGTCATCCCTTTTAAATTATACTCTTAGATGATTCACATTACCTAGAAAAAAGACACAAATAATACACTTGCTTGAGATTGAACTGAAGTTCATTACCTTCTGTATCATACACTGAGCTAGGTGTTTTCACAGGTTCTTTTTAATTACTCCAATGACACTGAAAAGAATGTGTCGTTTATCCCCATTTTACAGATCAGAACACTGAAATTCAGAGGTGAAATCATTTGCCCACAGTGACATAGTAAATACTGAAACTGGCATTACAGTCCTGGAGTTGTACTCCACTTTTCAAGATTCCCACACTGCACACTAACCATATGAATAATTTTGGAAAATATTAAACCAAATATTTATCCTTTTCATAAAAATAAACCTTAAATGACATGAGAAATGCTTTAAAAACATATAAAAAACATACACACACAAGTCTATACACAATATGTTCCTCATTTTCTAATATGTATTTTAAGAATAAATATAAAGGATTACTCCTGAATACTGGAATTACAGGTGTCTTTAATTTGTTCACTCTTTTACATTTTCTAAGAATTGTCCAGCCTGGCTGGCATGGCTCAGTGGTTGAACGTCGACCTATGAACCAGGAGGTCATGGTTTGATTCCTGGTCAAGGACATGCCCAGGTTTCGGCTTGATCCCCAATGTGGGGCATGTTTCTATCTCTCTCTCCCATCACTCCCTCATCTCTGAAATCAATAAAAATGTTTTGTTTTTTTTAAAAAGAATTTTCCAAATTTGCTACAATAAGTTTACATTACTTTTAAAATTAGAAAAATTTAATCAGAAATAAAAATTTGGCCACTAAAATGTTAAAAGTTCTACAAAAACTTTTAGGAGGAGGGAAACTTTATCCTCTTTTAATCTACTAGAGCCCCAAATAATGGTGTGGTCTGTGTGATCATTCCAGAAGCAGCCCCTGTTGCCCCTGGGCATAACGAGTGGGTTGAAAGCAGCAGCTCCCTCCAGGGGAAGGCACAAGCCCATCTCCTTACTGACTTCATGGAGAAGCCTTCTCATTCCTGCAGCTCTGGGAGCTCCCTAACCAACTCCAAACCCATATGCTCTGCGCTACAATACACTTCTCAGATGGAGGGTGAAGGAAAATGAGGCACAGTACAGTGCAGAGATTATGAACAGACTGTTAGATGGCTCTAGATTTGGAACCTGGATTTGCTAACATAATGTGTGACCTGTGAAATGGAATATTTAACTTACACAGTTGAGAGGTTCAAATAAGAAGCAAACAAAAGTTAGCAAAATGCCTTGCACATAGTATATACTCAACAAAAAAATAATCCCTAGTTTTCAATTAAAAATTGGAGAATTAGATTATGTTTCAAAAGGTACAATAAAAGACAGCAGCAATGAAATTCCCGACACTGAATCCCAGCTATACACAGCATTACTTCAATGGGTCTTTGGACAAGTTTTTTGCTTCAATTCGTCTATTAGTTGATAAAAGCCTGGATGGGAACATATAGATTGGCTGAATGCCTGAAAGCTTCCTCAGAGATGAAGGTGGAACTGAAAGACTGAACATCCTAGCTAATAAAAGAGTAATATGCAAATTAACCATCACTCCAACACAAAAGATGGCGGTGCCCAGTCCTCTCAGCCCCACTGGAGTCCTCCAGTCCCGGGGGCGGCCGCTGAGAGCAGGGCCGTTGCTGCAGTGACCTGGGAGTGGCCAAGCAGACCCTGCAGACAGCAGAGAACCATGGGGAGTGGGCCTAAGCCATCAGTAGGACATTCCCTGAGGGCTCCTGGATTGGAGAGGGTATAGGTTGGGCTGAGGCACCGCCCCCATACCGCCTGCACAAATTTCATGCACCACGCCTCTAGTTATGTAATAAAACTAAAGACAAGAAAGATTATCCCTATATTTTATTTTCCTTTTCAGATATGCCTTCCCCAACCCCACATATGCTTAACAAGCTCTGGTTTAGGATAGAAGAAAATGAGTGTGGTGAGCAGCAATAATTCAGAAGTCATGTGAGAAAGCCTGGGGAAACACTCCCTTTCTTTGATGGCCAACTCATCTTCTGTTTCCTCACGATGGGCTGATATCACAGATTTCGCAAGGAGCAACAGCAAAACTAGAGACAAAGGGATCTCATCGTCTGCATCTGTACTGGTGCCAAATGCCCTGACCAGAGCCTGTGCCTTTCTACGGTGAAGATGTTCTCAGAGAGATTAATTCTGAATATGCTGATTAAATTTAAAATCAGTTAAGCCAACGGTTTTACTCACAGAGTTTGTTCCAAGAACTTGAAGCTTTGGTTCCCCTGATTCCAGCAGCTTTGCTACCATATGAAGGAAGCTTTCTACAAATGGCTTGATGCTTTGAGAATGGCAAGCCATGAGAAGCTGGTCCAATGCCTCCATAGCAATTAAGACATACCTACGCGTAAGAGAGAAACAATGTCAAAGCCTTTCTAGCTGTCTTAAATCTAAGTGCTTTTCACTGGAAAACTAAAAATGAGTTTATTCAAATGCACAAAACACAGCAGGGCAAATTCAGTAGTTTCTAGGGGAAATCTTCCTTTTCACAGCACTGATGGCCTTAGGTTATGAAACAGCCCTCATGCTGAGGGACAGGAAAACCAGCCGGCACGCCTGCATTTCCTCCTTCTGACCAGAACTCTGCCACAGCTTCTTTAACAGGACCTTTGCGTAGATCTGTCTCTGCAAACAGGACATTTTGTTTTCCAGATTTTAAACCATATTTCTTTGTAACCATAAATATCATAAGCAATGTGCCTAAATTTCCAACATAATCTATTTATATTTGTAAACGTGAATATATAAAACATCAGCAACAACAGTTAAGGAAATGTCCCATAAATGTTACTTTACAATTCATTGAATTTTAAAGATTCTACTAAAAATTAAAATTCAGACTTTAGTAAACTTTGCTTCAACAATCAACTATAAAACTATTGTATGAAGACACCCAAAATGTTCTACGTGGTAACAATGTGGAATTGGAGAAAGCCAATAATCACTTGGGGAATAGAGTACCCTAAAAACCAGGATCACAGAATGACAATATGGGAAAGTAGTTACTCCAATGATCCAGGTTATCACTGTTCACGCCCAGAGAATGGATTAAGGTGGTAGAACTTACTTATAGGTAGCTGGACACCACGCACCATTTCAAATCAGCATGCTTTCAACTTCTGAACCTTAGTACCCAAGCCTACCACAGTTCTCTCATTACTCTTCTGACAGGTAAAACTGAAACTGCGTTACACAAATCAGTTGGTTAACAGAATCTTTCTCTGTTTTCAATTTAGACACTGGTTTTTAAATTACTGTATCAGACTAACAGAGAAAGGAGTCAATTTCTACTATTACCATTAAAAAGTCTCAGAAATTGATGGACGCTTCAGCTAAAGGCGACTCCGTTAACTAACATGAGTTTATTTTTAAAATCTGAGCACCAGGAAAGTAATAAAAGCTGCAGCATCTATATGGTATTACATATTTCCTAGTGTGGTATTACAGTGTCTTATCATCTACCTATCACTTTTGCCTGACTAGACGGCAAAATAACTTAAAGGATGATGTAATCTGGGGAGAATTTTCCAAGACACAATATTAGCAGCAATGAGTTTCCTTACCCAGAACGATGTCTGACAACATCCCTGCTCAACCTTTCTGCCAGGTAAGAACCAATTCGATCCAGTTTCTCTGGAGCAGATACTGCATAAAATGTCAATTTTTCCATATCAGCTTTAACAAGGCCATCCTAAAAATAATAACAAGTTAAACAGGTTATCTATGTTTTCATGCTTATTTTATTTTTTTTTATTTCTAAGTATTGCTTGCTGCATATTTCCCCTTTCTGGATTGGTGACTAAGCCATATTTATGCTGAACCTTTCTGGACATAGCCTTCTCAATGCTAATATTCACCATTTTAGATACACAGAATTTAAAGAAGTTAAAGAAATGCCCCATTTAGACAAAGCATTGAAATATACCTTCATAAGCAATGAATTACTCTAACACATCATCATTTAACATGGCTGCATCTCATCCACTTTTTTTTTACCACTTACTAATTTTAATGAGGAATAATTTATATACAATAATCTGCACCCATGTATATATCATTTGAAATATGACAGCTGTATACATCCACGGAACCCTCAGTAACAAACAACATATAGGGTATTCCCATCATTTGCAAAAAGATGCTTCATGACCTTCCCTCTCCGCTGACCACTGCCCTGCTTTTCTCACCATGAATCAGCATGTATGTTCCTCCCACATGTTCTTGTAGGTCATGGCACTTACCCTTACACTCATCTCTACTATCATGCTTTGTCACATCAGTTTTTCAATCTTAAACAAATGCTAATCAGGAGCTAACTTGTGATGGACACCAGGAATCAACGTGAGCAAAGAATTGTGTTAATTCATTTAATCCTCATAAGTTCCTTATGAAATAAGTACTATTTATCATTTCTACTGCACAATGAGACACTGATCACACTGCTACTAATTTTAAGAAATGGGTGGTTATCTGCCCCTCACTAGAGAGCTCTTTAAAGGCAGGGACTATGACTGAAGCCCTCCATGCCTGGGCACCTACCATCTGATCCATTTTGGATAGAGAAGATTTTTTTGTTTTGTTTAATAAGTTAAAATTAAGAAAGGTGGTCAACTGAGCTATGCATGCAAGGTTCATGTAAACCTTCTTTAATTTTCCTCTACAAATTGCTATTTAAGTAAATCTTATCTAAATCCTTGGTAAATATTCTTTCTGTAATCATTCTCTAAGTTACCTGTCATCATTCCCATGGTCAAGTTTTCAAAGCTCCCTCACCACCCACAAGTGAAAGTGCATAAAGTAGACAGCCTGCCTGTCAATCCCATTCCTCTAGATCTGGCCTCTACCTCATCTTTAGTAATCATTTGTCTCAGACGACTGAGAGAAATGATCTGAATATTCAGTCCATTAAATAACACTTCTGGAATTTCAAATCAGAAATTGTGCTCAACATGATTACCACCCAACACTCTACAATTTGAAGGTTCTTGATCCCAAATGTACCTCTCTCTTGCTTTCCCAGGCCTTTTCTCTCACATGGCAATAAAGAGACTAACCTCGACTTCTCCAGATGGTGTATATCCGTCAGAGCTCAGAAAGTCTCATTTCTCGGAGAATGCTTCCCAGAGATTCCAACCCACTGATACCACCCCTGCTTTATGGGAAACAATACCACCTGCTTCACGTAACATTTTCACTTGCTGATTTATGCACTGTGATTTAATATTCAGTCTGTTTTGCTCTAAACCAATGGATGGAAAGCTCCTTAAAGGCAGGAACCACATCTTAGGGTTTTTTATATGCCACATATTATGCAGAATATCTGGCAGCCCATGGCATTTAACCAATTAGCCTCCTCTAAACAGCTGGATGTTTACATTAGATTTGACTAAAAATGAGATATAGCTTGAGATATATAAATTGTTAAGATGGCCAAAAGGTTTCTATAGTTGGCTACATTTTAAAATAAAGCAAATTCTGGAAATCAAACACGTTAACAATTTTTATTCATGTCCATTAACACAAGACTAAAGAAGTCTTGGAAAATTTAAACTAAACCCAGGTGCCTTGAAACCAGTAATCTTCCACAGTAAAGTGACTTTTATAAAAAATTTACAAGAATTTCAGTAAAAGGAGGACAAACTCTGCCCGGAGGGTTCTTACTTTACATCTCAATTCTCTTCTAAAAACTGTGTGGCCAACTCTATTTATTCTTTGAATCTTCGCTTCATTTCCTTCAGGCCTTTCTTCTCCCAAACCCAAATCAGATGCCATTCCAGCCCCTCCCGCACACCTCCTGCGCTTCCTCCCTCTTTCCCGCCACACTGTAATTGCCCATTCACTTGTCTAGGAGTGTGGTGAGCGCAGAGAGCCATGTCTGTGTTCACAGTTATAGTCTTAGCATTTCATACAAGTACTCTGGCACCAGTTCATAAAATTTTGATGAGTATTACTTAAATTCAGGAACTATAGAGACAAAGAACATCACCTATCCACTATTCCAAATTCATGCCTAATCTATGAGAAGGATCTGAAAATTAGACAAGCAAGCATAGGTCATTTTAAAGCAAAAGAAGGAGAAGTATAAAATAGTAGTGTGCATGGTGAGATTCACGAGTAAAAGTAGGAAAATGAAATTAGGGACCCCTGAGGGGGGTCAGCAGAGGAAGGATGGGCCAGCAAAGAGAAGGATATGCAGATGTAGATCAAATTACTTTCGGGTCTTCAGGGAATATGTTGTCCACCAGGCGTTTGTAGCGAGGACGCAAAGCAGAACAGCAGCAACACACTCCTGTTCAAAAGAGAATAAAAGCACAAAGTACAGGGGTTATTCATATTGTAAATGGACTCAGAAACTAAGCTTCTGCATTTTAATGGGTTATTTAAAATGAAGGGGGGAAGTTTAAAATGCCACAAACAAAAAAAAAAGTACGCAGATTCAATTACTGATTAAGAAATGAAAAGGTTAAATTTCTTCTTCCCTCCCCAAAGACACCAGGTCAAGATGAATATACTAATGAGTTATTTCAAAGTTCCAGACCAAATTGTTTTGGGGCATGAGTGTAAATGTACACACACATGCACACACCTGCCAACTTCATCCTATAAAGCAACAACATAATTTGTATCTCCTTTACCTCTTCTCAGATCTCATCTCATACTACTCTTCGCATCCCCTACACTCCAGAATCCCCCACCCCCCACCACCCCTGCCTGACCAATCCACTCAGCTCCAGCCACAGTGGTCTTAAAATGACAGTTCACTCCTAGTAGTGCTGGTGAAAACAGTGAATACTTGTATCTACGCAATGATCATATAAGGAACTACCAATAGATGGGAAAACAAGCTCAAGGTAAGTCCAAGAATTTTTTTAAAATCCTCACAGGCTGCTGTACATATTCTCAGTTGTTGATGTCTTGGAAAGAGCAATGGGTATGGATCCAGAAGTCCTGGGCTCATTCCAATTCTTTAACTCAAGTTCCTACATGGCCCCGGTTATGGCACATCCGCTCTCTGGAAGAACTATGTAAGTGAGAAGGATCAGTTTTCTTGTTCTGCAAACTAATAACTTCACAGGAATATTGGTCTTGAACCATTATAAATTTATTCTCATAATTGATGAAACTGGGGTATATGTGTCGCTGTATAAGTGGGCATTTGTATGTATTTAAAAACCAAAGTATGGGACGAGAGAACACTTGAGCAGCAAGTTAAAAGAACTCGGATCTAAGCAGACATCTGCTCCTCTCTTATCAAGTAACGTTATGCAAGAGACTTGTCCAGATCTCTCTTTGCTCATGAAGTGTGCATCATTCCCGTATGCAGTCAATACCCAACGTCAACCGAGTGCCCAGCACAGGCCAAACAAGTAAGACTGGTCCAGATTTGCAGTAGAGTGAAGCCATGAAAAGAAATGATGAAAGCAGGACAGTTAAGATGCATACAGCATCTTTAGGAATCACAAAACATACATGCACAAATTTACACACATAAATAATGCATACGTTATTTAACATACTCGCAAACTAGTGAGGTATTATAATTGCAGCAGAACTGACCACATAACTCACTCAACAGCAGTGGCTGGGTGAGAACCCAATGCTAACTCTACAAGCCCAGGCTCTCTCCACAACACAGTAGATATTAGTGGTCAAATCAATCAACTGCCCAATATGTCATTTGCACCTACTGGGTGGTATCATGCTAGATGCCAAAGATACAAGGAAGTATGAAAGACACAAGCTCCTTGCCCCTGAGGAGTTTATAATCTGCTATTAAAAAAAAAAAAAACAGTGAATAACTCAGTAGTCTATACTTAGGCTGGTAATATAAAATGCTATCCATTGTTTAGGATGCTTTTTACTTTAAGAGAAGAAAAAACTGCCGAAACCGGTTTGGCTCAGTGGATAGAGCGTCGGCCTGCGGACTGAAAGGTCCCAGGTTCGATTCCGGTCAAGGGCATGTACCTGGGTTGCGGGCGCATCCCCAGTGGGGAGTGTGCAGGAGGCAGCTGGTCGATGTTTCTCTCTCATCGATGTTTCTAACTCTCTATCTCTCTCTCCTTTCCTCTCTGTAAAAACTCAATAAAATATATTTAAAAAAAAAAACAACAAATGCCAAAGAATCCATTAGGGGGATTTTTTTTTTTCACATTAACTAACACCAAAAACATCTGCACTCTTTTTAGAGTCCAAAATCAAAACACAGGTCTGAGTATTACCAAGAAAATCAAGGGTAACAGCCAAATAAGCAAGTCAGGTTTCTGTGTTCATTGTATGTAACACAAATATACTTCAGATAAATGTCAACGCACTGAAAGAACTTAAAACCAAACTTACTGCATGGCACTGAGCATTAGCCCAGGTACTGCTACAACGAAAGGAGCTTATAGTCTGGTAAGAAAATGAAAAGACACTTTGCGAACACTAATGTGAGGCCAAACAGTAAATTCAAATTGCTGTCATAGCAAAGGGGCTAAAACAGGTCTCAGGGCTCCCAGTTTCCCATCAGGATGGTAGCTACATTATGCTCAGTAGTTAAGGATTCTTAATACACTATGAAATGTCAGTCACACTGACACTTTCTGATATTCTATATTGCGCTTAGTTTAAAGAGGCCTCAAAAAATCTGAACTTGGGATACACACATTATCCAGTTCCTACTTTCAGAAATCTTAGGTCTACTGAGGGAGACAGCTGAATAAAAAGTCAAAATGCCAAATAGGCAGCATGGGGTTACAGGGCATGGGCCCTGGAGACAGACAGACAGACAGACCTGGGGTGGGCGGGTTACTTTCTCTTCTCGTGCATTTCCACAATAGTTACATAGGTATAACCATGCATTTTTCATATTTATTGGGAAATTAAATACAATTATATGTGACGTTCTTATGAAGGGTGTAACATACAGTAAGCAGTCAATAAAAGGCTAGCTATTGGTGGTAGTGCAGTAAGAGAAGCCTAACAGGTATTCGAGGCCCTTGAGACAGTATTCCCAACAATGGCAAAACCTTTGCTGTAAAGCAACCACCTAAAACTCAACCAATTTCACAGGTGATTCACAGAAGCTTCCAGAACGTCAGCACAGGGGGTGTGCAGTGCTAGCCTAGGCACCTACCACGTTATTCATCTGCTGCGCTCATTCTCGCTGGGTGGTCACTCCCCTCTGGTGAATGAGGAGAGAGGCTCAGGGGCACCATCTGTCCCATCACAGTTGGCAAGGAGAGGAGCTGGGAGTCCAGCCTCTCTGATGACTTCAAGGGGTCATTGCCACACGACATTCAAGTACTGAACAACTTCTAAATCCCTTTAAACATCTGAGCATTCCGCATTCCATGCCCAATGAACAGGCTGCAGGAATGTGCCTAACAGATGAGGAATGCACTTCTGCGCAAGAAAATAAAGATCACATCAAGTTTCCCCACAGGACCCCACACAAACAAACAAAAACATCTTCTTGACCACTTAGCATAACTGAAAAACTACCAACTACAGAGAAATAAAACCAGGTTTAAAACAGCCATTTACTTGAGTTTCTATAAAACGAGACCATATTGAAGATAAAGTTATAATGACTATGACAATAATCACAAAAGAAATAACTATCAACTATACTTAAAATAAGAGAATGCTGGACATATAAGCATCACAAGCAGAACGACAAGGAAATCACTGGACCTACTCAGGCACAGGAATGCGGTGGACTCCCTGGTTGGAGTCAGCTCGTAAGGCTTTTCGAGGTCGGCCGCAGGGACCTGGACGTAGTCTCTCATGCTGTCGGAGGTGGCTTTCCAGCCGATCTTCCTGCCCCAGGTCCTTCCCCCTACTGCACAGGCAGCGCCTAGCTCACTTTACTTGTACTTGATTAGCAGAGGGCACCAGCGTAATGGAGCTCATCGGCTTGTTACTGACATCAAATGTAAAGCTATCGAGAACCTGATAATATCCTTATCAAATTCTGCTGGCGGGGCCCAACAGCGTCAACAGGATCTCATGCAAGCATTCGTACTGCTAGTTGAAGAAAAGGAGATTTTCATAAAGTTCAAATAAGAAAATAGAAGTACTTAAAACTGTTTTCCTTAAAGCATTCCTTTAATTCCTCCTTTTCTTACTTCTGACCTCTTCCCAATATTCTCTTTTCCAAGGAAAAAACCGGGCTAAGCACATCACCAAAAGCCTGAAGCAACTGGCAAGTCTGAGCAACATGAATTCTTCCTTTACATTTAATCCCAGCATATAAAGAAGGTAGCCCACTCTACTTCCGGAGCATGTGGCATTCAGAACCCTGCTAATGATACACTTGGGAGGAGAAACACGAAGTCTCAAGTGGAATAACTAAGCTATGAGAAAATGGAACTGGGACAGGGTTGGAAAGAGAAAAATTATGATCCCCCAACAGTGCCAGGCTTATGGGGCAAGTTGTTCAATACACAGGAAAATCCTTCTACCTGCTTCTCAGGGTTATAAGTTCTACATTGAAATAAAAATTTCCTATAATGTAGAATTCACTTAAAACAGGTTAATACCTTTTTAGTAAAATTTGCATACTCCTGTTAACCATTTCTTTTTTTAACCATTTCTTTTTTAAAACACCCCAAGACAAGTTTCCTCCTAGCTCCCCTAATACCACTTTCATGTGGACTCACCAATGTCCCCTAGCCTCTCCTCTAACACTCTCCCTTGATGGAAAGATTTAGAATTAATTTCCATCCTGTCCTAACATATCCATAAGAGGATTCGAGGAACGGCACAGAAACCCTCATGGTATGGATCAGGCACCTGGGCACACAAAGGTTCTGGAAGAATTCTGCTTACCTGTAAGTGGCTAGTCCACCAGCAAATACTTCTAGTCTGTGATGACATTTGCTTTCCTGTGCAATTCTGTAAGTTTGGGGGTTTGGGTAATTAATAAAGACCCTTTTTAAAATGAGTTACTTACACTTTTGACTGACTATATTATTCAGTGATAATTTAAATTTAACTGGAAATATTAATGTCTTCATATTAAACTGTTACTAATCTATCAATGCCTCTGTTATTAAATATCACCATGGTACTGGGTACTTGGTATAAAACTATCCTCTAAATCAAAAATAACTTGCTAACACTGCCCCTGGAGTGAAGAATGCTGAGATCCCAGCATGGGAATCAACTGTATGGCTTTGGAGCAGGTTGATCTTTAAGAGCAAAACATAGCAGTATCTATACCTTCTACATAGCAATTATATCACCTTAATTAATTCTAAATTATAATGGATTAGGAATTCATTGACATATTTAGGGCTCATTAAATTTCATACTTTTAAATAGGAATAGCTGTGATTACTGGGTTTTAGTCCTTTATGTATATTTCTACCATAGCACTTGTAACAATTTATTGTACTTATTTATATACATATCTGACTTTACCACTAGAACATGATACTCCAACATAAAGCCCATATCTTATTCATTATTGTGCATGTCTGAAATATAGCAGACATTATTTTAAAAAATGTTGCTTTACTAAATGAATGTAGACCCAAAGTTTACTGACAGACAAACTGAATTTAATATCTGCTCTAATATGTGCTATAAGAATCAAAATAATGACAAAGAAAGTACACTATCCACTAAATAAATGCCAGAACAATATGATTTCTCTAATGTATAGGTAACAATGTCAATTGAATCAGTTTAAACAATTAATGGTTTATTTTTAGGCCTGGCGGTAATCAATAATCAAGGTGAAAAGAGACAGGCTGTTTTTTTCCTATTAGATTTTAAAAATTCATCACTTCAAGATTCTAGCTGTGGTGTCCAAAACTCTTTAAGAGTCTGCATCACATATTCCCTTCAAGGTTAAAATTAAAAGTCAAATTACACATAAAGTTAGTACCAGAACAACACGTTCGTTTCATACAATTAAAAGGATTTAAAATATTACAGTCCCACTCACTAAACAGCCCTCCCAAGTATCAAATACTGAAGATATAAGTATGTATACATACCATATACATATATAAAGCCTGTACTATGGTGTTATTCCTGTACTTTAACACATGTGTACAGGACACTGTGCTAAGGACTATAGGGGATTTAAAAGGAACTATCTATTTGAAAAGGCAAAGGAGCCTTTGTAGTAACTGAATTTTACAATAATATTTTGACAATGTTTGAAGACAAGGGATGTCCAATATCAAATGGACCACATGGCCATAAGGCCACAGTTCAGAGAGGAGGACAAGACATGTCCAATGTCAAGTGGACCACAAGGCTATCAGGGCCACGGTTCAGAGAGGAGGACAAGACATGTCCAATGTCAAGTGGACCACAAGGCTATCAGGGCCACGGTTCAGAGGAGAGAAAGCACCTGCAGCTCGAGTATGGAGAGGTTTTAGGGAGGACACGGGCCTGGGCTGAAGCTCCCCTGAAGAATGAGTAGACTGAACTATAAGGATAAGCTGGGGACAGTGAATTACAGTCAGATGGAACAACCCAAGCATCTCTAACTTACTTGGCAGGTAAAAAAGTCAAAATGCATTTTCTAACGACCCGACCCAGAGCTTAGAAAGGAACGGGGAAGGAAGGAACGGGGGAGGTGGCACAAACTTAGCATCAAAAGGGTTTGGTAACTAATTAGATAGGGGTCAAAGACACGGGAACAAAACAGTCTTATCTTCAGGAAAGTGTTCCTTTTAAAGGGATTGTAATCCATTAGCGGAGTGTTCTGTTACCCGGTTCTTCCCACGTGTAATTCTATACCTCCTCTCCATTCATTCTCAATTTCACTGCTGGTTCTTTATTCCCAGGCACATATGCTTTATGGAAAAGAGGATAACAACAAAGGCAATAAAGGGAATAAAAGCTCCAGTTCTGTCTTAAAGGATGGTCTTCCCATGGACTGTAATTCCTGGCTATACACAACTGTTCGAAACTACTCTGAGTTACTGTCTGTAGAAGAAACACTTTATTCAGAGTCACCTGGTGTCTGGTCTATATTCCACATCTGTTTCTTCCCCACTCTTACAATTTTTAATACAATAAAATGTATTAGATAGTCTCCTCCTTACAAAATCAATTTATAGATCTTAGACTTAGACTTGACTTTACTGTGTATATCATATTTAACTGAAAAAATTAAATATTACTTGGAGTAACACACGGACAAGAGCAATAAAATGTAGAATAATCTGACCAAGGAAATATATTCCTGAAAGATCGCATGTGAAAAGCCTTCTGGGATCATCATATGAAAAAAAATTACTACAAATATTAAACTCAGAAAATATAATTCTTTATTCATTTCATCTGAGGTTGGCTTAGTTCACAAAACAATAAGAAGCCAGCCAATGGATGACACAGAAACCAGAGCTGCAACCAGGACAGAAACAGGCTCCTACCCTGTCCCCACCAATGTTAGACGGAGCATGTGGGTCCCCGCTATTTCTAGCACCATGTCCGGACCTGGGTGCCCAGGCCTCTTCAGATGTGCCCAGGTGCAGTCCTGGAGGGAGTACAGCGCTCCTGTGTCCCAATCTCTGGAGGTAAGCAATTAGATGAGGCAGAACTGAAATAGTGTATGACTCCCTTGTTTATTTAATAGATAAAATATTAACTAAATGTCCTTTATGATGATGTCAGTAGCACTATTGAGAATTACAAGTGGAATCACATTTTTTCCATATGTAATTGTGTGTGTTTTTAAAGTATGTGAGCAACATAAAACTGGTGAAATCTGAGTAAGCTCTGTGGACAGTACCGATGTCAATTTTCTGCTCTGATACTGTACTATAGTTATACAAGATATTACTTCATATTATACAGAATGAAGGGACCTACCTGGATACTCTTTTTCGTAACTTCCTATTAATCGATAATTATTTCAAAATTAAAAACAAATAAAAAATTTTAAAAATCCTCTGAATATTTCACAAGATGGATATGAGTTATTTCAGGCAAAATTAAAAACACCTATAAAATTCCTCAAAAACAAATTTTAAAAAAATTATTTTCTCATTAGTCAAAGAGTAACAAAAGTATTAAATTTGTGGGGGTGTTTGTGACTCCCAAAATTATTTTTAGAACAAATACATGTAATATACCAACAGCATTGCTCCTTCTTATAGATTCGACAATACCCACAGTGTCTATGCCATGTTAAAGACTCTTATTTGAATTGAGATGATTAGGTTTTCTGATCAAACAGTAAAGGAAAAGATAGGTAGCACTCTAATTATGTATCTAAACAGAATGTATATTTTTAAGTTATTTCTCTATCCAAAGTTTGAAGATAGCAAAATATAACCTAGCACTTATTGAGTAAGCCTAGCTAAGTTAAAGGTTTAATTTAAAAATATTAAATTACTAATTTAAACCTTCAAGGCTCAATGCTGGATACAGTCTCCTCAAACTTCTAATTAAAGCTCAGAAACTCTAAACATTCTGTATTCGTTCCATACATGAGACTTAGGTAACACAAAGTCAAAAGCCTAAGACATCTTGAAATTTTCAAGTATTCTTTTAACGTGCACACACACACAAAACGGTCACAGTTAGTATATACAACTGAGTTTTCTGTTAATCAAATGTTTAGAAAGGCAATCCAATCTTTTCTAGTCAATATTCTTAAATGAATCATAAACCAAAATGTGATGCTACCATTAAAATTTCAATGTATTACTAGATTTTCCTCAATTTCAAAGTCAAGACTTACACTACTAATTCATGGAAGAAAAAACAGCAACTTTCCGCAGCATTACACACAAGGAACCTGTGACTCTGCATACAGTTATAGCATTCATCTTATTACTGCAACTAAAAAAACTTATTTTTTCTTGAAAATTTTAAAGGAC